TAACTTGAATCTAATACAAGACGGAAATAGACCTGTTCTTTCTTTAATTCTGATATTGACCAACTTTACACTGGTGGTGAAAACGACTTTAACCCTATATAGTTTTAACATGTCCTTAACAAGAAAAACAAAGATCCCGTCTCATAACGAGAATTTACAGCTCCCTCATCTGCTTAACCTTAGCCTCCTGTAACACAACGGATACAATAATCTAATGAGACACTTCTTCAAAATTTGTCTATCAAGGAAACTGCTGATTGATTTAATTGACAAGGATCATGATTATCCTTGCCCACCTTACCTTCGAGGAAGGACACCTAGTCAGTGTATTCAAGACTATTTTTCTGCAGATATTTTTGAAACTTGTCACTCATTGCTTCAACATTTACCACCTTCGCAAAAACGGAACAGAGCTTGAAACTACACCACAGGAGCTAGCAAGGTTATTCGGTTGTATCTCGAAGAGTACTAATTAATTACAACTACCACATGGGTGGAGTGGACGTACTAGATCAGATAATGGAGTGTTATTGGGCTTGTACAAGAACTAAAAAGTAGACTCTCAAAGTAATTATCCACTTATAATTAATAGAATCAGGCATTACTTTGCAGAAATCCATTATATTAAAGCTTTTAAAAAGTTACTTGGCAAACATCCGCTCTATAAAATGATGTGTCTTACCTAGTACGAAGAGCACCTCCCGCCCTCCCTCAATTGCGTGCACTATCTCCGTCACCACTAATCCCTGCACCACTACTCCCAACACCACTACACTAGGAAAGACACACCACTGACGACAATACAACACGTGTTTCGCCTCTACACGAGGCATCCTCAGATGATGTAGACTCTGCGGTGGCTGACCGTCAAGTGAGCGGTGAGCCAAAACAACTGCCTTTTATACAGACCGCTGACGCAACCGCTCCCTGCTTAAGGAGCGAGCGACCGCGTCATGCGGTAAAACATGCAACCAATCACCGCCGGACTTACGCAGCCGTTTGTAAAAATCATTTTATTTTATAGAGCGGATGTTTGCAAAGTAACTTTTTAAAAGCTTTAATTATCTACTTTCCAGATTTGGCAGTGGTTAACGCATTGCGGAAGTATTAAGTTGATTGCAGGAATAATAAACTCCCGATGACTAAATTATTAGCCCTTTTAGATTTTAAAATTGAAGTAGCCTATGCTCGGTTTAATACACCAGCCCCAAACCAGCAATTGAGTCATGCCACTGATACAAAAGATGAGCACCCGCCGGTAAAGAAATAGCCAAAGACATGCCATCAAGGCCTTTTGATGCTAAAAGGTATTACGGTTGCGGTCATCTGTTTACATTCGATGAGTTATCGACACCACGTTCCTACAGACTAGAAACGTACACCAGTTGAAGTAAAATTCGTTGTATGAAATGCAATATTTACTTGTTTGTGCCTTTCTAGGGGAAAAGATTGCTTTAAATTGTACCAAACAAAGGGCGATAGTTACTTATTAAATATTTGACTAATTTGAGTATTTATTTTGGAGATCTCAATTTGTTCCTATGTCGATTATTTTTATGTTAAAAACAAAGATGAATTAAGTAAAATTAAGAGAGTTGTTATTTCGATTAAGTTTCTGTTCAGAATTTTTATTTTGATAGACATTGTATTTAATTTTAGATAAATAAGTACAAATACAGAAAGACTGTTAGTAAAAGTGTAAAATAGTTTTATAAAAAATAAACAACGTTAATTATATAAGTAATTCTATCAATTTCCTAACTCACTTCCTAAGAAGTCACGTCCGTGACGATGTCAAAATAATCCTGACCGTCACGATCGTGCGGGTTATTTTCACAGTGATACAGAGGTACATGATTTTTTAATGAATTTTTCTAGATAAGAACCTTAGATAACCAAGAAATACAATTTATATAACAATAAAACAGTAAAAATATCTCCTGTTTTAAATGGATATATTGTTGAAAGATTTTAGTAGACTAATTTGGAGGCCCAATCCCCCCCCCCCATCAACGTGGTAGCGGAATTACACGAAAGACTACCCCAGGAGGGTACCAGCACCCCTGGAGAATCCGTCGCTGAGCATCCACGACCATGTTATTCCACTCCTGAGAGTGGGTGCTCAGGCTGCCCCGCGTATTCTTGGAAGGGGGGGGGGGGCAAAATTCCACTCAAAAACATAACTGCTCGGGGCAAACTGAGCAACAATACCAAGGCGACCTCTGCCATGCTATCCGTGAATTTCTGCAACATCAGGGGACTTCACTCGAACCTAAACACCGTCCACTACCAACTCGAGACGGCGAAGCCGGCCTTGCTCTTTCTGACCGAGACGCAGGTGTCCTCTCCGGCTGATACTTCGTATCTCTCCTACCCGGGGTACAAATTGGAGCACTCCTTTGTGCCTCGGGCTGGAGTTTGCGTGTATGTCAGAGAGGACATCTGTTCTCGTCGCCTCGGCAGTCTTGAAGGTTTGGACCTGTCCATCCTTTGGCTACGCGTAGACAGCGACGACCATCCGCGCGTCTACAGGTGCCTCTATAGGTCCCATAGCGGTAATGCCGAAACAGACCGACTCATCGACCACGTCCAAATGGCTACAGATTCCTTGCTACAACAGGTCCCATCCGCAGAGATCGTGATCCTTGGCGATTTTAACGCCCAACACGCCGAATGGCTCGGTTCACGTTTAACCGATCGTGCGCGGAGATCTGTTTATGACTTTGCCTTGGCATATGGTCTGACACAACTGGTTACTTCGCCTACGCGGATTCCAAATGTGGAGGATCATACATCTTCCCTGTTCGACCTTCTGCTGATCTCTCATCCGGACGGATATCAGGTTTCCGTCGATCTTTCTTTCTTTCCTCTCGGCTCTTCGGACCATTGTCTGATCCGGAGTGTGGTGCCACTCACGCTCCCCTTGCGGTTGCGTTCTGCAGGTTGCCGCCGTGTTTGGCATTACAGTTCGGCGGATTGGGACGGAATGCGGTCTTTCTTTGCATCCTACTCATGGGGGCGGGTTTGCTTTTCGCTGGATGATCCCAGCGCTGTTGCTGACTCTGTCACTTATGTGGTGCTACAGGGAATTGGAACTATTTATTCCATCATCTGTGGTACCCATCGGAGGCAGATCTCAGCCTTGGTTTGGTCGCTCCTGTAAGACTGCATTACACAGTAAGCAGGAGTGTTATCAAGCCTGGGCTGCAGCTTCGGCGACTCGGGATGTAAACACCAGCACACTTAAAAAGAAGTGTAACTTCGCCTCCAGGTCCTTCAAAAGAGTTATTGCCAAAGCAAAGTCAGAACACATAGGCAGAATTGGCGAGAAACTAGTTCGCCTTCCTTCGGGAACCCGTGCATTCTGGTCTCTCGCCAAGGCTGTCCAAGGGAATTTCTGTAAGCCATCACTACCATCTCTACACAGGGAGGACGACTCACTGGTCCAAGCCGCAAAAGACAAAGCCGACCTTTTAGGCTCCCTTTTTGCGTCCAATTCGACTCTTGATGACGGGGGGAAAACACCGCCAACCATCCCGCGGTGTGAGTGCTTCATGCCGGATGTGCTGTTCTCACAGCGCTCGGTTCGCAAAGCACTCCTCTCCCTGGACATCCAGAAGTCGAGTGGGCCTGATTGTGCTGAGGACGTGTGCTCCGGATTTGACACCGGTCCTAACGCGTCTTTTCCGGTACTCCTACTCTCAAGGCGTAGTCTCGAATTTGTGGAAGACAGCTTTTGTACACACGATCCCTAAAAAAGGCGACCGCTCAGACCCGTTCAACTATAGGCCTATCGCCATCACCTCCTTGTTCTCCAAAATAATGGAATCCATTATTAACTGCCAGGTCATGCGGTACCTTGAGGATCACCAGCTGATTAGTTTTCGTCGGGTTCAATCAGCTAGTGATCTTCTGGTCTACCTGACCCATAGATGGGCGGAGGCAGTAGAGCCCAAGGGGGAGGCGTTGGCCGTTAGTTTGGAGATTAAAACAGCGTTTTATCTTTGAACAACGTAGATTAAAACAAGGCGTGCTTAACTGAGAAATGAGCACACGGTGTCGGCTGACACACGGACATGCATGCGCTATCAACTCACTGCGGGTGTCACGACACTTGAGGGGCTTATAATGAAAATGTTGAAATAGTAAGCAAGTTGGATCACGTTTGTAATCGCAGTTTTTTATATTCATTTATGTCTTCGTGAATGACATTATTTCGGAATCATGATGCGGTGGTGAATGACGTGTAGCGGCGGCGAAAGGGAATCCACTACCACATAATTGCATGCTTTGAGACCCCATATTATCCCGTGAGTATCGTAACAGGCGACGAAGAAAAATGAATCAAGCGATAGGCCCTGCCCGCCTATTAAAGAGAGAATTATGGCAAACATCTCTTGATTGTTTTATTACTTTAAACCACTTTTGAAAACAAAGAATCTTGAGTTTAAAAAACGACTTTGTGTCGTAAAACATAATGATTATAATATACTCTTTGCTGTTGTCACTTGTCACTGTTGAGTTGAGAGTTTTGACGGAAACTTGAACGTTGGAGGATTACTACTCTTGTATTATTGTTTACATAATAGTTTGAAGTGGATTTTAATATGTAAAAGTGGTGCAATTTTGTGTATTAAGTGTCTGCGCATGTGAACTATTAGTGGAAACGGTGAAACAAGTGATCTGATGGTGATGTGATTCTCAAGATAAGGTGTCTGTCTGCTTAGGCGCCTTGAGATACCAACGCCAACTTTCAGCTGTCTGCTGGCTCAAGTTGCAGTCGAAATTTCCCAAAGGCTGCACAATGTGACGCATCATCATAATATTGGGAAGCAGTATACTATGATGGATAATTATTAATTATACATTGTAACTTCAGGCTCAGAAGGGCTAGAATCTAGAGCCGTTAAACCAGTTATAATATAAAAAATGAGGAAATTGACAATTGACATATAGATTGTCATTTGTCATTGTCATTTGTCATTGATGGTGGTTCAACCATGACTGAAAGATGTCAAATAAAGTTTACGGAAAAAATTGATAAACCGAATTATTTTATATGTATTGGTATTTGTGGTGTTCTTCTGGGTGTGCTATATTTCTACAGGTTTAGCTTACGAAAGAAATTGACTAGTTTACTTTTTATAAAAAGTTTCCGTAACCTACATTGTTTTGTTTTAGATTTCACTTGATCACTATTTTAGTCAGTTATGGATTGGGATGTTTGGCTTGTTATTACGCGTTAAGTTCGAATATTCTTTACAAATATGTAAAGTATTTAACGTGCCAATTTGTCAGAAATCCGCTACCGAAAGAAAACGAATTTCCTCCTGACAAAGTAAGTTGATTCACTACCACAGATACTAGTTTGTTCACTACTATATCCTGGTTCATTTTAAAACTCTCTCACTCTCTTAAGTTAAGCACTATAAATGTTCTAACTTTTAAAGTCTAGTGATTTAAAAAAAAATATTTATTTAATTTTTAACTACACAAACTATGTGTATATTTTACCATACATGGAGTTATATATCTTTCGGGTTTGTGTTCGTATGTTACTTTGTGTCGATCTGTAGCCTCAATAGTATTACAGGTTTTAATTGGCAAGGTGTGAAACAAGACATATAAGGAAGTTTAAAGGGCATTCTAATGTATATGTAATTTTACTAGTATGTATAGATCTTTGCATATGGGTTCATTGTTTCAAATAATAATTTACTTATCTTTTCTTAGGGTTGTGTAACATGTGGACACAAGGATTGTATGCGTCATAATCCTGCAATAGCTCCAGAACCATGGAGCGGACTACAAATACATAAACAATTGGATCAAGCCATAGAAGATGTAAGGAAATTAATTTAAACTAAAAAAAAATAAGCATTAGTAAGGAATTAGTTTCTACTTATTCTTAGTTTTGGACACAAAAGAAGCTCCACCACCTTATATTCACCCTCCCATTTTCAGATACTGCATATAAATAGCATATTTCATGTAGTAAAGTTTTCCACCAATAGGAATAAAAAGAGTAATTATCCCCTTAACATGCTGCCATACAGGCAATTTTATTAATTCATAATTTCAATATAATAAAGCATTGCTTTTGACAAATAAGTTTTGCGACTGTTATTTAGTCCATTGTTATTAATAATTTGCATAAAGAAGATTTGCCATAGCCATGTCAATTGTAATACCAACTTTGTATTCTAAATAAAAGAAACCTTATATGTAGGTAGAGCTATGCTACAGCTATATTAATAGTATAATTGTAGCACAAATGGGTCGGCATGACCAGGGAAGGACCACTGCTGTGTTTCGTATGGTGAGTGTAGAGAACCGGAGACCCCTTTTATTGGAATCGAGGCATTCCATCTTAGTCTTCACGGGTGACAACGCATGCATTTTGATTCATAGTAGAGGATAGATGTAGATGTCTGTAGGCCATAACAACCACATACCATCAGGTGGACTGTGTGCTTGTTTGTTATCCTTATCCTGTAAAAAAATATTGCATTTTATAATTTATTATGGGCTTATATTTTTGTTCTTCCTGTATCATTTACGACAATCAATCATACAGCATAACTATCTCAAATACTATTTGTCATAATATAATAAAAGTGAAGAATGGGTTGGTTTGACCGATGCAGGACCACGCTCTTATAGGATACCAGTATAAAATAGCAGCTTAATGTTGCTGTGTTCGTATGGTGAGTGTAGAGAACTGGAGACCCTTGTTACTGGAAACAAGGCTTTCCGTTTTCCATCTTAGTCCTCAGGGATGACAACCCATTTACATTTTGATTCTTAATTGAGGATGGAGGATGTCTATAGGGCACAACATCCACTTACCATCAGGTGCACTGTGTGCTACTTGTTTGTCACCCTTATTCTATATAAAAAAACTGCAGTTACCAGGCCAGGTGGCCTAGTTGTCATGCTTAGCACCTGCTCGCACATATTCCCCCTATAAGGCAATCTATGGGGGACACCTATGTTATAATATATATAATTTATAAAATAACTATCCTAATAACTTTAGCTCAATCAATGGGACATTGGAAAGTAAGCAAAAATTCACTTACACGTTGAAATCAGAAAGACACACAAACAAAGTCAAATAAAAGCTTGGAATTAATAATATAAAACAATCATTCATTAATAATTTTGTACCACTATTACAACATGATACTTGGTAATTATTACTTTTCTGTATGACAATTGAAGTACATACATAAGCTTTACTTCTGTGGTCACTTTTTGTGACCAATGTGAATAAGTAGGTTTCACATATCTTCATTTTTAAGAATATTATCTCAAGTAGCATTTTTGGGTTTAATCCTTACATCCTGTGTATTGCATAACTATGTCTGCTATGGTCAAAGTTTTCACGTGTAATTTTTGTTCACAGTTTTACAATACAATATTAGACCAATTCATCAATTCATGGTATAGCAAAATTTCACTGCAACCATTTTTTGTCGATGAGATAAGGCATCAACTTAGATATTCATCAGCTAATTTATTGCGACGAGCTCTGAAAGTAAGTAATAAAAACATTTATAAACATTTATATTTTTATTCCTATTGAAAAAAAAATGATTATGTCATCTATGTATGCTGACTGAATTTCGGTCACGACAACCAGTCTCCCTAAACGTTAAATTGGAGAGGTCACATCTAACGAAGTCAATGCTCTGTCTCCCTCGTGCTCTAATTCAAATCCCGAAACCTTTCAGCTCGAGCTACGAAACCGTTTTCAGTGCCTAGAAGATTGCAATGCAGTGGACGATATGAATGACAAGCTTGTGGAAAGTGTCCATGCGGTCGGAGCTAAGTTTTGCAAGACCCGCCGCAGAAGAACACAAAAACTCTACGATCACACTCTTAATCTCATGGCTGTTAGACGGGATATGAAGCTGCAGTCTTCAGTAGATTTGACAGCATAAAGGCACCTGAACAGACACATCTCCAAATGCATGCGACGGGACTTACGAAACTTTAATACTGCTCGTATTGAAGAAGCGATCCAGCGGAACCAGAGCTCCAAAGTCTGCTAGACATCTGTCTGCCAGAAAGAGCCAACTGTCGAAGCTGAAGACCGAGTGTTGCAGCGTCATTTCCGGGACACTTGAGATTTTGAGTGAGATTGAGAGGATCTATGGGCAGCTGTACACATCATCGTTGCAGCCACACGCAAGTGTGAGTAACGATCCAAGAGCGAGTCTTATCCGACATTATTCCGATGATATCCCGGACGTCACTCTGAGCGAGATTAGAATGGCTCTCCAGCACCTTAAAAACGGCAAGCGAAGAATTACAGCGGAACTTCTGAAAGCGGGTGGAAAACCGGTACTAGAAGTCCTTCAGAAGCTCTTTAATTCCGTCCTCCATGGTGGCATTACACCGGAGACGTGGAGCAGAAGTGCGGACCGATTTCCCTTCTGAGCCGCGTCTACGTGCTGTTTTCGAGAGTCATTACGAATCGTCACGCGCGCAGTCTTGACGACTTCCAGCCTCCCGAACAAGCCGGTTTCCGAAAAGGCCTTAGCACCATAGACCACATACATACCCCTCGACAAATTGTACAGAAGTACGAGGAGTACAATTTGCCACTATGTCTGACGTATGTGGACTATGAGAAAGCCTTTGATTCCGTCGAAATTTGGACGGTGCTGCAGTCCCTTCAGCGGTGCCAAGTTGACTGTCGGTATATCGAAGTGTTGAAGTGCTTGTATAGTAGAGCTACGATGGCTATCCGAGTACAGAACCAGAGTACGAAACCTATCCAGTTGCAGAGAGGTGTAAGACAGGGTGACGTCATATCCCCGAAACTCTTCACCGCTGCATTGGATTTCAAGCTTCTGGACTGGAAAGGATACAGTATCAACATCAAAGACGGCTCCGTGGCGCAGTGGCTTAGCAATGTTTTGCTGCCCTGGGGGGCGCGGGTTCGAATCCCGCACGGAACAAGTATTTGTATGGCCTACAAATGATTGTTCCGGGTCTGGATGTTTGTCCTTGTGAAATTTGTGTTTGTGAACTGCCTCCACGATACAGGAGAAAATCACCTAGTGTGGGGGTAATGTTTTCTTTTAAAGAAAAAAAAAGAAAAATGGCGAGTACATCACTCACCTTCGATTTGCCGACGATATAGTACTTATGGCAGAATCGCTGGAGGACCTAAGCACTATGTTCAATGACCTCAATAGTGTTTCCAAACGGATAGGTCTTAAGATGAACGTGGACAAAACAAAGATCATATTTAATGTCCATGTCACACCTATGCCGCTAGTTGTTGTGGGCACTAAGCTCGAAGTTGTTGACGAGTATGTTTACCTGGGACAAATAGTCCGACTAGGTAAGTCCAACTTCGACCGAGAGTTCAATCGACGGATTCAACTCGGTTGGGCAGCGTTCGGGAAATTACGGCACATCTTCTTGTCAGGTATACCTCAAAACTTGAAAACGAGACTGTACAACCAGTACGTGTTGCCAGTGATGACCTATGGAACTGACACGTGGTCCTTCACTGCTAGCCGGATGAGAAAGCTCAAGGTCGCTCAGCGAGCTATGTAGAGGGCTATGCTCGGAGTTTCTCTGCGTGATAAACTTAGAAATGAGGATATCCGCAGTAGAACCAGAGTGACTGACATAGCCCAACGGATTAGTAAGCTGAAGTGGCAATGGGCCGGCCATATAGCTCGAAGAACCGACATCCGATGGGGAAAAAAGGTTCTCGAGTGGCAGCCTTGTACCGGCAGGCGAAGTGTAGGGCGTCCCCCCACTAGATGGAGCGACGACCTGGTAAGATATGCAGGAAGTCGATGGATGTAGGTGGCTCAGGACCGTGCTTTGTGGCATTCCTTGGGTGAGGCCTATGTTCAGCAGTGGACTTGTGAAGGGCTGTAATGATGATGATGATGAACCAGTCTCAACAGAGATTATAGTACATTAGTGAGTGTGCAAGCACAGCTGCATACTCTGTCCTCATTCTCATAGTCAATTGGGGTTGCTATCCGACGTAACCAAAGAGAGTTATGGCACAGGAACGGAACAACGGCTTTACGCACTTTCCGAGGCACTGAGGTGAAACACTATCAACTTTCTGAACCAGAAATGCATCTGAGAATTTCTTGGCAGAAACATCTGATAGCATGTTATCACCCAACCAAGACTAACAATACAACCAATAGATGATAAAGAACTACAAAAAGGGTTCTAAATTAGTGAAATATTGAGTACATATTTAGGAATCGGTCTGGGTTGTTCAGTTATATAATTATAAATATGTCTTAGGCATGTATTAATAAATGTTACTCAGCTCAAGTATATGCACTTGAGTACAATCTTGAGGTTATATTCTTATTAATAAACACATCTCAAGATGCGGTTTAGATTTACGATATCAGCTGAGTGCCACACTGATTAATTAACGAAACTCGACACTCAAGTGTGTCTACTTGGTGGAGTGGAAGTCACAGAATAGTATTCCTAGTACAGCGTTTTGAGATACTGTTTGTATGTGTTTATTAATTAGCAACGATCTTGAGATGCTGATATTGTAAGGAGGGCGTATCAAATGATTACGCACTTGAGCTCGTCGTTGAGTAACGTTTATTAATAAGGGCCTTAGACCCCTAAGAACTCCTTTATTTTGTGAACTGTTTAATTTTTATAACTATCAACAACAATTTTTCTTGTTAGGCCATAACAACCCACTGCTGGACTCGGGCCTCTTCCATTGTAGTAAAGTGTTTGTGAAAATCGCCACGTTTAGCGTGCCAGTGGTTTGGCAATCGCGGTTCCAATATCATCGAGATTTAGCACCACACCGCCAACACAATAGTCACGTGTGATGTAATCATTTCTGTCTAAGAGTAAACTAACGCGAAAACTCGTAGTCATAAAGCACTAACTAGAACTAACATTACAAGGGCTAAGTTGGTTAAGTTGCCACCACAGGATCCAATTTAGTCTAGTCAAATTTAGTTTAGTGTGGTTCGACACCATACTGCAATTTGTGTTATGTTACAATTTTAACTTTGACATTGACCATTCCGTAACGACTATTATATCATTCAGTAACGACTATTTGATAACGCTGTACGACTTCGATGCAGTCTTTGAAGTCCTACAATCTTCATATTGCTTTCTTAATTTTACATTAATTAATTATATGTAATTTTAATTTCCAATTAAAATTTGCTTGAAGCAACAGAATAATTGAATTTTCACATTAAGTTTGGTTTGTCGATTTCGTTAATGATAATATATTACTTTTAAAGTAGTACATTACTTTTAAAGTACTTTGTCCTTCGTTTAGTGATAAAACATTACTTTAAAAGTAACGGATTATCAAGAAGAACAAGAACAAAGCTAAGCCACTGCGACACGGACGTCTCTGTGGCGCAGTGGCTTAGCAGTGAGTTGCAGCGCTAAAAGTCGCGGGTTCAAATCCCACACGGAACAAGTATTTGTGTGGCCTACAAATAATTGTTCTGGGTCTGGATATTTGTCCTTGTGAAATCTATGTATGTAAACTGCCCCCGCATCACAAGAGAAAATCCTAGTGTGGAGGTAAATTTTATAAATTAAAAAAAGTTGAAATTTCAAAAATATCATTTTTCACATACCACACTGTATAAGTTGCAGCAGGTTAGCTCAACCAGGAAATCATCAGACTCACATAATACCAGTGTAAAATATGACAATAATTCCACTTAAACCAAGACCCTTTTTCTAGTAAAAATGCATTCCAAACAGCTCATCTGTAATATTTTCTTAATTTGATTTTGTAATTGATGATATGTTTGAACTGATAGTCGAATTGGGCTGTGTACTTGTACTTGTGTACCTTTCTATAAAAATATTTTTTTATACACTTGTATGAATAATCATTTTTCAGATAGACTACGCTCGTTTAATCAGTGAGCGTTTAGTGCCGTGCGCGTTACAATATTATGCTGTTGTGTCAACCGGTACCAGACCGGCCTTGCACGTGGCCGCGTGCAACCGGGCGGCCGAAATGAAGTACTTGAGGTGTTTAACGGATGTCCTCCTGCCGTTGCTACTACAACCTAATGAGACAAACAACTCGTAAGTTAATCAAAAAAGTAACAATTTCAGTATAGTTAATACAGTATAGTTAATAAAACATGTAGGGAAGTAACAGATATTCACTATTAGGGCCTGAGCTCACAGGACGGCACCGCGTGTCAAAGAATTTTTTCGTGGACAATCGATTTTCGACCTTATTTTAATGAATTTAGCACTGAAATTCCTTTATTTCAACGCGAATAGACCGAAAAGTCTTGCGCGACACCACGGGATGCTGCGGCACGTCACGGCATTTCATCACGTGCACGGCACGCCATCACGTGCAATGCATAAGTTACTTCATGTTGTTAAAGGAATGAGACTGTTAAATAATTGAAACAAGGTTGAATCTAGCTCGTTGTGGCGGCAACCTCAACGACCCGGTACACGAGCACGTCTTGATTTATTTAAAATGCGTAGCGCAGGCCCTTATCAAAGAAAACATTTAGAAATAAACCTAAACTTAAAAATTGATTTTATTTGTCTACCTTTAGCTATATTTATTTAAAATCAAATGTATCCTCAAAGTTCCTGCCACCATTTTCAAATCGTCTGATGAACACGACGACGACACTTTTGGGGTCTACCTTATTTTCTTTGTGTAACTAATGTTCCCAATTTATTTCGCTCGATATTTAGCATACAGAATAGAATATTTTTTTATTCAATGTAGATCACATGTGTAATTCTTATTGAAAGTCATTTTTTACTTTACCACTGGTTCGAAAAAAACCGTCTGTCCCGGGAAGAACCAGCATGAATCCCAGCGGTACTTTTTTTAAAGTAAATTTTACATTAATGGTTGTACAAACTATTTACAAAATTTATTTTTGAAACGGCTTGTAAGCGATCACCTCATTCCCAGGGGTTATTACCAGCATGTATTCATTTATATTGTAATAACCCTTTTTATACAGTTTCAGCTTAACAAAACATTTAAACTTGGTAATAGAGAGAGCCTGTACACTTTCCCGAACGTTGTTGTAATAGCGTATACATTGCCCCAAGAGTGAATTACTGACTCTGTGGAGTCGAGAAACTAGTATCACTAGCTTGTGTTTGTTCCTAGTGTTTACAGAATGTATATCACTTTTTTTACTAAAACTACCTTTGTTTTTGTGAACATACATTAAATTTTCGTAAATATACAGAGAGGCCAAAGCCGCATTTCCCATAGCAAAATTCCATAAGACATTATGCTATGGAAATAACTGAAATAAACTAATCTAGCTGTCTCGACACTAGTGAGACCTCTAATCTTTTTTACAGCATAGGCTGCAGAACTTAGTCTGCTTGCTAGTTTGGATATATGGGGGCCCCACTGAAGCTTTGCGTCGAGAGTGATGCCAAGAAAAACAGTGGATTCAACAGGGCTCAGTTCTTCCCCATTTAAAAACACATTGGTACTCAGATTTTTAACATTCGTTGTTATAAAGAACAATGGCAGACTTTCATACATAAAATTAGTTGAGAAGGAATGGTAGCGTCTACATATAAAAAATATCTTAAAATGTTAAGCGTCAGTCCCTTAATAACTCTGTCAATGAATTTTGTCCTGAGAAAGCGTCAAAAAAAAGATATTTAGATTTGAACTTTTTTAGGTTATGTCTTATGTCACTTGGAAAATTGCGTCCTGTGGTTGTTTGATATTAGCTTAATACATTCTCAACATAATGAGACCTACGTACATAATTGAGAGTATTTAGTTTATTGTATCTCTATTATATATTTGCATACTATAAATGTATATTTCTGGCATGGCTCCAGGGCCTTTATGTCATACAGTGACATTCTCAGAAGGGGTAGAACCCAGACCCGTAAAGCCAGTAAAATAAACAGTTGTATTTCCGTTTAAATGTAGATGCCATCAAAAAGATAACTTGTAAAAAAAAACCAAGTCTCGCAACTCAGTTCTTCTACCGTAGGAAGTAGTGAGATTCATGTAATACCATCATCATCATCATTACAGCCCTTCACAAGTCCACTGCTGAACATAGGCCTCCCCCAAAGAATGCCACAAAGCACGGTCCTGAGCCACCTGCATCCATCGACTTCCTGCATGTCTTACCAGGTCGTCACTCCATCTCGTGGGGGGACGCCCTACACTTCGCCTACCGGTACGAGGCTGCCACTCGAGAACCTTTCTTCCCCATCGGTTGTCGGTTCTTCGAGCTATATGGCCGGCCCACTGCCACTTCAGCTTACTAATCCGTTGGGCTATGTCGGTCACTCTGGTTCTACTGCGGATATCCTCATTCCTAAGTTTATCACGCAGAGAAACTCCGAGCATAGCCCTCTCCATAGCTCGCTGAGCGACCTTGAGCTTCCTCATACGGCCAGCGGTGAAGGACCACGTCTCAGTTCCGTAAGTCATCACTGGCAACACGCACTGGTTGTACAATTTCGTTTTAAGGTTTTGAGGTATGTCTGACGAGAAGATGTGTCGTAGCTTCCCGAACGCTGCCCAGCCGAGTTGAATCCGTCGATTGACCTCTCGGTCGAAGTTGGACTTACCTAGTCGGACTATTTGTCCCAGGTAAACATACTCGTCAACAACTTCGAGCTTAGTGCTCCCAACAACTACCGGCATAGGTGTGACATGGACATTAAACATGATCTTTGTTTTGTCCATGTTCATCTTAAGACCTATCCGTTGGGAAACACTATTGAGGTCATTGAGCATAGTGCTTAGGTCCTCCAGCGATTCTGCCATAAGGACTATATCGTCGGCAAATCGAAGGTGAGTGATGTACTCGCCATTGATGTTGATACCGTATCCTTTCCAGTCCAGAAGCTTGAAAACGTCTTCCAATGCAGCGGTGAAGAGTTTCGGGGATATGACGTCACCCTGTCTTACACCTCTCTGCAATTGGATAGGTTTCGTATTCTGGTTCTGTACTCGGATAGCCATCGTAGCCCTACTGTACAAGCACTTCAACACTTCGATATACCGACAGTCAACTTGGCACCGCTGAAGGGACTGCAGCACCGCCCAAATTTCGACGGAATCAAAGGCTTTCTCATAGTCCACATACGCCAGACATAGTGGCAAATTGTACTCTTCGGACTTCTGTACAACTTGCCGAAGGGTATGTATGTGGTCTATGGTGCTAAAGCCCTTTCGGAAACCGGCTTGTTCGGGAGGCTGGAAGTCGTCAAGTCTGCGCGCGAGACGATTCGTAATGACTCTCGAAAACAGCACGTAGACGCGGCTCAGAAGGGAAATCGGTCTGTAGTTCTTCAAGAGAGCGTTGTCACCTTTCTTGAAGAACAAGACCACCGCACTTCTGCTCCACGCCTCCGGTGTAATGCCACCATGGAGGACAGAATTAAAGAGCTTCTGAAGGACTTCAAGTACCGGTCTTCCACCCGCTTTCAGAAGCTCCGCTGTAATTCCATCCTCGCCTGGGGCCTTACAGTTTTTAAGGTGCTGGAGAGCCATCCTAATCTCGCTCAGACTGACATCCGGGATATCTTCGGAATAGTGTCGGATGAGACTCGCTCTTGGATCGTTACTCACACTTGCGTGTGGCTCCAACGATGATGTGTACAGCTGCCCATAGAACCTCTCAATCTCACTCAAAATCTCAGGTGTCCCGGAAACGATGCTGCCACATTCTGTCTTCAGCTTTGACAGTTGGCTCTTTCTGGCAGACAGATCTCTGGCAAAGACTTTGGAGCCTTGGTTCCGCTCGATCGCTTCTTCAATACGAGCTGTATTGAAGTTGCGTAAGTCCCGCCGCATGCATTTGGAGATCTGTCTGTTCAGATGCCTGTATGCTGTCAAGTCTGTTGAAGAATGTAGCTTCATCTCCCGTCTAACAGCCATGAGATTAAGAGTGTGATCGGAGAGTTTTTGTGTTCTTCTGCGGCGGGTCTTGCAGAACTTAGCTCCGACCGCATGGACAGTTTCCACGAGCTTGTCATTCATATCGTCCACTTCATTGCATTGTAATACCAAGTCGGTTAATTTATTCAGTCCCTACTTAAGGGTCCTTCTGTGTCAAGTTATTACGTAATTAGGTAACCTAACAACATCTTATAGTGACCATATCAATTTTAAAAATCTTTTATGTTTTAAATAAATACATTGACTTGGCCATCGCATGAAAACATAATGTATCTCACAAGTAATACATATTATATTAAATTAGATTATCTAGTGCGTTTATGGTATGACGATATTTATTGACGCGCCTACATATTAATAATTAAATATTAGGCATATTTTTTATTGTTCAATGCAATTGTAAGTATGGATATACTACGGCATGGCGATGAAGGATACATCCTTAGAAAGCATGCTCATATAGGAAATGTATTTTGAAGATATGTAAATAACAGCTGTACATGAATTAGATCAACATGATAGAGGACGATTGTTACTCCTATTGTACTTCTTATTACTCTACTAAACTATAAATTGAAAGGTCTGTACTATTCAGTAGATCCATTACTTGAAATGTTTGATAGCCGAGAGGCTACCAAGCAATTTACGCATAGAATATTCTATTACATCTTCCGGATCGAGGTGCTTGTAAACTAAACTACCTCATGATAAGAAGTAAAACTGAAGTTACAATCTATATATGTCCTACTGCTGGGCAAAGGCCTTCTCTCATATCTGATAGTGTTATGCAACAATTAGTCCGACGCGCTGTTCTAGTGTTGACAGATTTCACATGTCCTCAAAATATTTAATTATCAGAAATCAATGTGCAGGTTTACACACGATGTTTTCCTTCACCACTGAGCACGAGGTGAATTAGCACTTAAATTTGCAATTAATAATTTCATCGGGTTTGACGAAGTTTTCCTTTTTATTATTAAGATTTTAGATTTTTGATTCATACGTGGTTGAGCCACGCTGCAGTTATATTATGGTTGTAGCATGAATGGGTAGGCTCGACTGGGATAGGACCACGCTCACACAATATCAGCGTAAGATAGCAGCTTAATGCTGCTGTGTTTCGTTTGGTGAGTGTAGAGAACCTGAGACACTTTTTGCTGGAAATGAGGCATTCCATCTTATCCTCAGGGGTAACAACGCAACTGCATTTTGATTACTAAATTTTATTATGATTGATGGTTTTCAAATTAATTAAATAAATGTTGATGTCTATAGGCCACATCATCCACTTACCATCGCGTGGACTGTGTGATAGTTTGTCACAAAATTCTATAAAAAAAATAACGTTTTTAAAACTTGTTGTTGCTTAAGCCTGCTTGAATTTTTTATTTCCAATTTGCAGGGTATTCCGTGTGCTCGTAAGGGAGGTGTTTGCAGGCTGGGTGCTTCTGTCTCTTACCGACGTATTGGCTGACCCTTACATATTGAACGCCCTTATTATACTCGCCACCAGCAATGAGAAGATGGCCCAACTGCCTGTCACACCCAACTATAAGGTTACTAAGCATTTTATTGTCTCTCTTAGAAAATTTGCAAAAGCTATAAAAAAATTCTTTAGTATTTTCTTTCTTCTTCTACTTATTCTTTATGTTTTAATGCATTCACGAATGTCAACATGAACATGTTTAAAATGTAGAATAGCTTAGCTCACACAATTATAATGTCCATGAAAACTACATTACTTTTAGGAGGTTTTCTTACGTGGTAGAGCCGTTCTGTAGCTATATAACAGGTATAGTTGTAGCACGAATGGGTTGGCTCGACTTGGGAAGGACCACACTCTCACAGAATACGTATGGTGAGTGTAGAGAACCGAAGACCCGTTTTACTGGAAACGAGGCATTCCATCTTAATCCTCACGGGTAACAACGCATCTGCATTTTGATTCGTCGTCGAGGATAGATGTAGATGTCTGTAGGGCACAGCAACCACTTACCATCAGGTGGACTGTGTGCTCGTTTGTCACCCTTATCCTATAAAAAACATTACTATATATTTTCTCTTCCATACCACAGATGATGCAATACATATTTCTTAATGTTGCCCCCTCCCAAATGTTTAAGTTTTTCACTTACAAGGCTTACACTAATTGTCTGTTGTCAGAATTATTAGAAAAAATCTCATTAAGAATACATTAGTAACAATTGAAACGCCCACTTGACTGGATACTAAATTAGGATGAACTTGTTGGTATTTACCACAACTGTTTGTTTAATTGTTATTACTTTAAGTTTTTTTTTTCTTTATGTAAGTTTTTTAAGTCTTAAATTTTTATGTAAATGTTTTTTTATTATTCATAATTTAAATGTCTACGATTCAAAAGTATCTTCCAGGTCCGATTGAGTAAAATTTTTTATGAAATTCTACTAAATATGGCGACGTCTTAAATAGCAACTTACGTTATTTGTGACGTTATTTTGAGCAAGAGTAAAGAACATATATGTCGCAGTAAGATATTTAAGGCCGTAATGTAGTTATATCCCTAGTGATATAGCTATATACCGTAATATAGTTATATGAAAGCGATTCTATCTATCTTATTAGACTAATCTAGTGAAATAATTATTATTGTAGTTGGTTTGTAATATGTTAGTCAAAACTACTTATGACTTATACTTTTTGAATTGTTGAAATTAAAAAGTAAAATTTCAATATTACATTTTATATCGTTATAATGTACGCTTTAGGGTAACCCAAGGGCCACCCTAGCCGCACTTTAACCTACTGTCAAAAAAAGGAACATGTACATCAACACAACAGGAACGTCAATGTCGCGAAATTTGTTCCTCCTGAATGTTCAGTTTACAATTATAATTATTTCACTTGATTAGTCTAATAAGATACTTATGAACCGGTATATAGCTATATCCCTAGGGATATAACTATATCACGGCTTTAACTATCTTCCTGCGATACACATGTATATTATCGAAGTTTGGTAAAAGTCAGCATGTATTAAAATTCTTTATATAGGTTTTCTGGACTCACTATATACCATGTAATATATATGTATGTGAGAACTTCTAAAAAAATCCACTTTCGTTTTGACAACTCCAGGTGGAATTCTTGGAGACGTTCGCGCGTCAATCGGAGAGTGTATACACGCAACGCAGCCGGCTGCTACGTGTGGAACTGGAGCTGGTCATGAGCCAGCAAGAGCACTTCTACGCCTTCATGCAGTACATCAAGACCACCTGCCATCTGCCTCTGCTACAATTCTACAAGGACATCAGTAACTACCTTCTGACTTGTCTTCTTTCAGCAGTTATTTAACAGCGTTTTTCTAAAGTACCTACCGTTGATAGATCAGGGGCTTAGCGCTCGTCGTAAACATCAATGTGGTAGTGCCGCGCTGCAGCTATATCATAGGTTTTTCTTATAGAAGAGAGGGCACGAGCATGCGGCTCACCTGATGATAAGTGACTACTACCGCCCTGAACAACCACAACACCAGTGGAATTGCAGGTGCGTTACCGACCTTTTATAAAGGAGCAAGGTCTTTTCTTCAAGGTTCGCAGCACCATTTGACGTATTGGAGCAATTACGTCCAGGCTGTCTTAACATATATTTTTTTTTACCCACACATCATGCCATGTCATGCTGCAGCTATATTTACTTAGTCGGGTCATAAGTTCTGTCAATTTTTTTTAATAAAATTAATGATACACTTTTTGATAATTATATAGAAATTATATATGAAATGAAAGGTAATTTAATTTAGAATACAATTTTATTTACATTATTCGAAATGCCCTCAAAATAAATAACTCAGTTAAGCCTGAATAGGAGACTCCAAGCTAAACCATGAGTGACGAAGGATAATGTCCTTGTTGAACCCTCGGTGTTCGCGCCCAAACGCTGGTTTCAAGATTTGACGCCAGAGTGCGCTCAGCTCGATACGGCGCGTTCATAACCGGTTAGACGAGTGGGCGGTCGGCGGGAGTTAGTTTGTTATCGGCCGCGGGGTCGAGACAGCAGTAGCTCGCTGGCCGCGATGCGGTTAATCCGCGTATCTCGGTTATCGCCACCGAAGTTCACGCGACCGGTGTAGGGTCCAGATGGTTAGATTTAGTGCGTGTTACTTCGCTACGGAATTGTGTTTCGTGAAAACCGCCTCGGATTAGGTTGTCTAGGGTTTAAGTTCTTGACAAGAGGCTTGTATTGTGTTCGACTGATTAAAGTAACTTCTTTGAAAGTAATTGTGCAAATTATATAGTGATTGCGTTTGAAGTGAATTTTGCAATATTTAACTTGCTCGGGTGACGCGGAATTTCGCACGCGCGCGCCGAGTAGATATACTGTCTAGGATTCGAACCACGCATTTCTTGTTCGAGAGCGTCTCCCGGTTGATCGTCTGGAAATCATTGTAATTGTGCCGTCGCGTTAAGTGCCCTTTTTTGTGTGTTGGCTGGTTTGTTAGTTTTACTTGTCAACGAGGCGTATTTTGAACTCTTATCGCGGCGTGGTGTTAGATGTCGAACGAAGAAATTTAGTTGTGTTTAACGCTGAACCGTGTAACCCATTAAGAGATCGCGTTAGTTCCCTATTTATAATTTGGCGATAAGTGAATCCGGGACATTGAATGTTGAACTTTGAACTACTGTCCGTTACTGTGTCGGGTATCACGTGTTCGATTCTACGATGAATGTGAAATTAGACGAGTTTAAGTTAGTTAAATGTACAATGAAGTAAATAGACTGAAATAGTGACAGGAAGAAAGAAATGGTCCAGCGGGGAAGACTGCTGGAGTGATGCAGCATTGTGGGGTAGCCTGGAAATCGGCCGCTGCTGGTCACCTCAACTGGTACAGGTCTCAGACACATACACATCACTAAACACTACTTGCCATGCACCTTACACCCACTTACGGCCTGACCGAGCCTTGGGGCGATCTTAGAGTCGGAAACAGGTACGTACTATATTTTCCTAGCATTCTCCCATATAGTTTAGTATGATAGGACATTTTTCCATGTGGCCATTTGGGGCCCGACCTGCGGCTGCTCGTTGAATCTTCCTCTCATGGGCCCCGGATTATTCGAACTTTGCAGGGGCAGCTGTAGGCCGTAACACTCGGAATACGCGTGCAGGCTTCTTCACTGCTGTGGGCATATACCTTATATATTAGTTATTATAACTTTCTTCAATGTTAATTTTTTTTTCATCCGAAAACAAAATTCTGCGGCATTTTTTCCCTCGATTTATCCAGCCTAATATTTTTTCAATCGCTCGTTCAAAAATGTCCGGTCTTCTTACGATAAGCTCGTAGTCCTAGGTCTTCATTGATCACTTTTTTGACCGTGGTTCTGCTTAGGCCCATCTGAAGAGCTAAGATTTTTTGTTTACGAACAGGATTTCGTAGGATTCGCGCCTTGACTGCTTTGCTTATCGTGAATGTCCTAACTGTACGAGGTCGGCCAGTCCTCTTACGATCTTCGAAGCTTGAATCTTCAGTGAATCGTTTGATAGTACGATAAACAAATCGTAGGGTTATTTTCATATTTTTGTAGAATATTGAAAATCTCTTTTGGCGCATAACCACAGCGGTGTAACGCGATAACTACTCTATCTTCTTTCTTCGACTACTCCATATTTGAAAATGAATGAAAATGAATGTCTTTTTTATTTTCGACACACGTAAACGTTATATTTTTAAAATTGGTGAAGTTCATCTAGCCAGTATTCAAAAATTTTAAATAATAAGGTTTTGACAGAACTTATAACCCGACTAAGTAGTTGTAGGTGTAGGGTCAGCTCGACCGGAGAAGGACCACCCTATCACAGAATACTAGTGCTGTGTAGAGAACCGGAGACCCTTTTTACCGTTATTGAGGCATTCTATCGTAGTCTTCAAGGATGACAATATAGATAACATTTTGATTCTTAATTGGGGATAGTTGTAGGTGAAATATATTTTTTTCTTATTTCTCGGACAATCCTGCATGCCGTCGATTACGTGGTAAATCAGAACTTAAAATGCAATAAACAATTTCATTGGTGCCGGCGGGGATCGAACCCGGGTTGCTAGCGTACTGTGAAATTTACAGTGAGCGCTTAGCCGACATCAATGAAATTTGTTAATTAAAATGCTGATTTACCATGTGCTCGGCGATGAAGGAAAACATGAAGAAATATGCATTTCTGACATACATGTTTCCTCACGATATTGTCTAATGTTAATGAAATATTTCGGGTCATGTAAAGTTTGCCACTCACTAAAGCAGGTGGAAAAATTGTTGCATAACTATCTCAGAAATGAGAGGAAGCCTGTCTTTCTTTTGTTTAAAAAAAACGTTACACCCACACTAGGATTTTCTCCTGTCTCGTGGAGGCAGTTTACAAACATAAATTGCACAAGGACAAACATCCAGACCCGGAACAATTATTTGTAGGCCATACAAATACTTGTTCCGTGCGGGATTCGAACCCGCGGCCCCCAGCGCAACAACTGATTGCTAAGCCACTGCGCCACGGAGCCGTCGAAGTGTCTAGCAGTGGGACATATATAGGATATAACCTTACTTTCTTATCAGCCTTTTTTTTAATTCACTGCAAGATATTGATCAAAAATGTGTCGTTTACAACCTAATAAGTTTATCTGATGGTGTGTGGCTACTGTAGCCTGGATATTCACAACCAATTGTGAACAAAGAATGCCACTGTTGACACCCTCGAGAACTATAATGGAAAGCCTCACAGCCTGTTCGGGCACAGGCTCTCAGAATGAATATTTTTTTTTGAAAATCCTAAATTATTATCTCACAAATATATAACCATAACTTGGTCCATTGTTTTTTTTTCTCTAAAGATTAACAATTGCCTTTTTATATTAAGTTAAATTCTGGAAATTGTCTTGTTTCCAGAGTCGTTTCAAACTACCCTCCTGAACCCGGAACTGAGTGAAGTGGAACGCGAGCAAGTGCGACGAGCAGCTCGGGAATTAAGTTCGCAGTGCGGAGACTCATTGCGCCAGCTTCCACCCGAGCTGCTCGACGAACTGCTCGCCGAGCTGGACACCGCCGATGTGCACAGGTGAGGTTGAGGTCGGAGGAATGGAGAAGAGCTGGGACATATGTTTAAGGAGCATATTATAGTAGTATATTGTATGAGGAGATAGGTTTACACAAATTAGGGAAACGGTGTATGAATGATATCTGGTCAAAGGTGTCAAATTTAGAGGTAAACGCGATAAATTCCTTAAAATTAATCTCATCCTAATATAGAATATAGATTTATATGTAGCACTAGTCTCGTACACATGCACAAGTCACTCACACCGGTACGTTTCGTTTTTGGTCTCACCGTAATAACTCTATCGGCAATGTAATGTATACCTACTATATCTATGGAGAAATGTATGTAGATGATGTGTGTATGTATTTGTATTTATGCTATGTAGCGGCAGCGTAGGAGAATCTACTTCCCCATATCATCCCCCTTGTCATAAAAGAAAGTAGAGGAAAACTGATGCAAAACAGACGGCAGCATCTTCTTGATAGCAGCTAAAAGTAATAAATTATAACTTTTAACAAAAAGTAAAGACCGACTTCAAATTGCTAAAAAAGAAGTTATTTATTTGCTATCCTTAGGCGTGGAATTTTTTCTTCAAATTTATATCATCAAAATTGGATCACAATCTGCGACGATATCGCGTAACATACATACAAAAAAAAAATCGAACAAATCCGTAGGTATATAAGTTTAATATTATTAAAAATATTTTTATTAAATGATGTAACTAAAAATGTATGCTTTTCGCATATGTTTCCTTTATCTGTGCTATAATACGTTGCTTCGTACCAAATTTTAAGATTCTGAGTTCACGGGAAGTACCCTGCAGGTTTTGATTCCCTTGCGAATGTCGAAAATTTGCGGCATAAGCGGCTGTATCTTTTGATTGCGTTGGCTTAGAAGTTTGATTTTTTCACAGCTCCAAGGGACAGTAGACTTGAGTATTTGATATGAATTTCAGCTTGATACCTCCACGCGTTCCTGAGAAAAAGGGTCTTGACAGACAGACAGACGGACAACAAAGTGATCCTATAAGGGTTCCGTTTTTTCCTTTTGAGGTACGGAACCCTAAAAAAACATACACTCGAATTGAGAACCTCCTTCTTTTTGAAGTCGGTTAATAAAAAGCTACGGCCGCCAACCCGCTTGCCAAGCGTGGTAACTATGGCAAATATCTCCCCTACTTCCAGGTCGTCACTCCATCTAGTGGGACGCCCTCTACACTGCTTACCGGTACGTGGCTGCCTCTCGAGAACCTTTCTTCCCTATCATGGCCAGTTCAACGAGCTGTATCGCAAAATTATAGCTAATTAATTTGCTGCAAACGTGAGCAGACCAGTCTCCACAAGCAGCACCTGTTCACAAGTATAGCGCATATGGTAGCCATCTCACTCTTCGACCATTTTAAAGTGAAGTGGCTGACCTGTCACACGTAGCTGCCACAAGTAAAAACCTTTATATCTATATACATACTAGCGATCTCCCCCGGCTTCAAACGCGTGATTTCTGGATCTCGACAATAGTGCCACCTACTAGGTCCAAATGTGTATCTAAACCATCTAGGGACGCATTAAAAAACACAATTTTTTCGTCATAATCGGTCGGGCCGCTTTTGAGTTATAGCGAGACTAACGGACAGCAATTGATTTTTATATCTTTATATATAAAAATTATGTGTCACATTGTTTGTCCCCAATGAATCCCTAAACTACTGAATTGATTTCAATTAAATTTGCACACTGTGTGCAGTTGGGCTCAACTTAAGAGATAGGATAGTTTTTATCCCGATAAGTGACCCTGAATATATTTTTTGGGAATTTAAGGATTTTTATAGGACAGAGGGTCACCGTAAAGTGCAGAACAACGTCTGCCTGGCCAGCTAGTATAATTATATAATATCACCTGCATCTATCGAATACCTGCGTATTACATCAGATCGTCACTCCATCCAATGAGGGGTCGCCTAACAACGCACTTGCCTGTACGAGACTGCCACTCGAGAATCATTCATTTACTACTTCAGTTTACTGCTCCGCTACAATATGTGAATCACTTGTTTTTCTGCAGATATTATTACGGACTTCATCCTGAAGGGAAATCACAATTCCATTTTGTTAACTATATACGTACTAATGGGTTTAATTAATTTCCAGGTTACAGACCAGTCGAGCGCTTTATCAAGCAGCGAGACAGTCCCATGCCGCTTTAGAGAAGATCATATTACCAAGGTTCCTACACAGTGAAGAGGTTAGTTATTCTATCCCAATCTTGCTAAACGGAGATAGCTCAACGGCCTCTTTGGAGCGTCTGTAGAAACTGAGAAATTTAAAATTTCCATGGTTGTGCTAACTGAATCCACTGCGCCGTATGTCTTAACTCACTTTTTCAAAATTTGTTGGCGTACAACCACGAAGTAAATACAAAGATGAGATGGCATAAGCAACTGCACTGTGATTCTAACTAGGTCCTGACGTCATCATAGTGGGCATGGCTTTACTTAGCATACTGTCAGCGTTCGTCCTGTCCGCTTATGTGTCAAAAATCGCAAATCTGTGTATTATAGTAGTATAAAGAGGAAAAGGATGAAGTGTTGTGCTTTATCGTGTAAAAACTACTCATATAGACGCTCTGATGCTATGCATGGCATCACATTTAATTTCTAAGTAATTATTAATTAATTAAAGTAATTATACCTAATTTATTAAAAAGGTTCTAGAAAAATCTGCGTCGGCTTTCAAATGTAATTAAATATATTCGACGCTAGATGGCGACACTTTGTGTCATGGAAACTAGAAATATAAAGGTACGTAGAGCTCAGTATTAGTAAAGTAATCATACGAAGGTGTTGAAATTTGTTTTGCATTCAGTCCTAAAGAATTTTTAATCGCCAATATATTATTTTTATAGTTTTTATAATCATTTTGTGAATAAATCGCCATCTATCGTCAAGGTAGCTAAAGCTTTTTTACATGGTAGAGCCATGCTGCAGCTATATTAGTAGTATAGTTGTAGCACGAATGGGTCGGCTCGACCGGGGAAGGACCACGCTCTCACAGAATACCAGCGTAAAATAGCAGCTTAACGCTACTGTGTTTCGTATGGTGAGTGTAGACAACCGGAGACCCTTTTTACTGGAAAAGAGGCATTCCATCTTAGTCCTCAAGGGTGACAACGCATCTGCATTTTGATTTGCAAATGAGGATAGATGTAGATGTCTATGGGCCACAGCAACCACTTACCATCGGGTGGACTGTGTGCTCGTTTGTCACCCTATCCTATAAAAAAAAAACATTTACATGGAACGATGCGAGTAGTTTTACTATTTATCGGTAGATGGAAAATAGTAAAGTGGGCGGGGCTTAACATCCCCTCACCCCGCAAATTGTCACGCGTTGTTATATAGTGAAATCTAATTACAACACCTCCTTGTATTTGCTCCGTGCATACAACGCAGGACCGGGAAATTCGAAAGGTGTTAAGGTGTTGAGTAAAGACTATAATAATAAGGGAAATGTAGAGTTGCCCGCAGAATGCACAGGAGTTTTATTGAACTCTTGTGGTATTGCACGAATCTTAATTTATTTACGAATCTTAATTAATTTTACACAATAGACTTAAAGCCGTTATATAAATACAAACAAGGATAACAATTTAAAATAAAAAAAAGTACACAGCTATTACAAATATATTATTATATTTGTAATAAATAAAATGAAATAAAACCTAATGTCAAACGTTAAAAGGAAGCCATACACGATTCCCGCTATAGTTACAGCAAAGTGTGGTAAGTTACATAACTACAGCGTTCGAGTTATGTAACTTACCACACTATGCCATTGAATTTCTATTAATTATATTAAAATAGTAATTTATTTTGTTTATAGTTTTACAAGCTGATGATTGGTTCCCGAGTTCCTACAGGCTATCAGAAACAAATGACCAAAAGGTAATTACTGTCTTCTATGCATAAACCAGTCAACAGTAATAGTCCTTCAAAAGATAGGTTAATTTTTTCGAACTTTTTCAACAAAAGGAAACGGTTTTGTTAATAATTAAAAATTAAAAATTTTGTACAACCGACTTCAATATAAATCATAAAGAATAACTCAAAAACTATTAGTCAGACCTTGATCAAATTTATATGGGACCACATATGAAGCTGGTGCTTCAAATAAAAAAACAATCATCGAAATCAGTTCACCCAGAAAAAAGTTATGAGGTAACACACATAAAAAGAAAATACAGTCGAACTGAGTACCTCCTCCTGTTTGAAGTTGGTAGAAAATCCTCAGAAGGAAACACCCAGTTTGCTAATTCAATTAGCTCTTATCATCTGTGAAAAAAAAACAGCATTCAAGTCACCTTAAGGAGACTTTGTCTAGAGGTCTACAAGAGCTAACTGACCTCGAATGATACACGCATACATTTTACACAATTTTTGTATAGCATCAGGCTTCGGCCGGCACTGCCAGTGCCAGTACACAGGCGTTTACGCACACATGCGTACACGTTCAGAAATAAGAATATGCGATTTAAAAATAATGTATTTATTGAACTAAAAAATTAAAACACTATTACGTTAATATGTTGCTGGTAGAATAATCTGACAAAATATCAGAATGATTGCATGTATATTAGTATGGTTTTTAGTCGTTAAAAGAAATTTTTAGGGTATCTTTGTGATTTTTTTTCTATCGTATCAAATTAGTTGTATCATATTGAAGATACACTATCTAACATATATTCTGAAAAATCTCATATATTTTTCTGATTTTGTTTAATGCAATGGATCATATACTTTAAGGCATTTTAAAACTTGCGCTTAACTCCTGTAGTCCCCTTAATTGCCACGTTTGGCAAGTGAATTTGCAACCACAGTATCAGACGTCTCACACCTTTGACGCTGCATAAAAGGCATCTATGCCAACCGCGGAGCTTTTCTGGCATTTCACATAGTCGTCTCTTATAACACTCACGGGACGAAATGGAATGGTAGATATTTTATGCCACCACTACACTGAAAGTATTTTGAGATATTCAAGGTAAAAATTAACCAAGAACTCCTAAAAAGCATCCAACTCTGGAACTTCAGAAAATTGTTTCCATTGCATAATAAAATAGTAAACTAGAAACTTTTTCTTTTCAGACCACAAGATAAATTACTTAATGCAGCTATGAAAATAGGCAGTCGTTTAAAAGGTGCCCTGAAATCTCAGACCGTAGATGGACAAGTCCTCGACAGCTCCACAAACTCGGAACTTCAAGACGAGGAGGGAATTGAAAATGTTGATATTTTAAAATATCTGGACTCCATCGCGGCTGAGGACAGCATGGGGGAGCACGATCTCAGCAACTATAAGGTTGTGTTGACCAATGTGGAGACGCGACTTGTAAGTTTTATATTAATACTTTTGTACTAAAATTTTTTAATTATGTGTAGTTATTATAATGCATGGTCCTTGCAATAAAAAACTTCTCTTATCTTTTTTTTTTTCAAAAAATTTCCAATACAGTCTTTAAGTCTGTTTTGGATAGATATTCAGACATAAGTCAATCAGACATGCAGTTGCGGTTGTTGTTTCTAGATTTGTAATTAGTTTCGACTGAAAATGTTTCGGTAAAATTTATTTAAAATATTGGACATTCAGTCATTTTGTAATATTAGATATGAGTTATTTTATTCAAAAACTTAACGACTTTATAAAATCGAATGCGCGAGACTTTAAATAATATGAAACTGGTAATATTAATAATTATTAGAAGTTGTATTTAGATGAAAATATTTTTTTAAATATGAATAAAGTATTTACAAGTATTAAATTGATTGAGAAAAAAAAGTTTAAAAAGTCATATAGCAGAGCGTGGTTTCGATCCACGGACCTCTGGGTTATGGGCCCAGCACGCTTCCACTGCGCCACTCTGCTTGTATCTAACACGGCGAAATAGGCAATCTTAAGCCGGTTTCCCAGTTAAGGTGATTTTTTTAAAATATTATTTATAATAATTATACCTAAACAGAATTAATTTAGCTGTGTCTGCATTCACAAGTCCGAAGTTCACGACGGTGCAACTTTTTCGTTTTTATGATGTTACGTATAAAATTCCTATTCTGGTTCTAGTATCTAAGATGCCCCTAATACCAGTCACGACTCTAATTCCAGCCTTTTCGCCTTTTTACTTCGTAAATACAGTTTCTAGTGGTCTTAACTACAAATATTGTCAGCTAAAAAAGTCTTCGTAACTTTAGTAAAGTATATTTCAAATATTACCACACAGTTATAAATCTAGCAGTGTTAAATCAAAAATCAAAATACGTTCGCAACGGAAAACGCTTTCGAAATTTTTTGATAACTTATGGCACGGAGCAAATACAAAGTATTTTGTATTTGCTCCGTGGGTTATGCCGATAAAATTAAGCTTATTTTGTATTCGCTCATCTTTAGAGGCTTTTTTATTTGTATGAATATGACTAGACATAGTAATACAGATATTTTTATTTAAATTTGCAAGTGGTTTATTTTATTTTAGTGGAACGGTGCTGTAATTAGATATACGAAATGTATGGAGTACATAATGTCAGCCGTCAGGCTGATATTGACGTACGTAACAATAAGTATCTAATTTCAGCCACGTAATATAAATCAAGGCTGTCATAAACTGGAATAAATATCATTTATTAGAACTTAACTTATTTTAAAGTTAAGGAAGTTATGATGATTGATTTGTCTATGTTTTAAAATTATTTTTTGATCTTAAAGTTTAGCAAAAGATGCATTTGCTTTTCCATCAGACATTCGGTGTATGTTAAAAACATCATTGAGAAAGACAGAAACAACCAATAAATATAATTATTAATTAACTATCTATAACATAGTAATACTAATTATAACATAAAACATAAATGAAAAACTCATGACAAGGAAAGTGGTTCAGGATCATGCTTCGTGGCATTCTATGGAAGAGGATGTTCAGTAGTGGACTTGTGAAGGTCTAATGATGATGACGATTCGGAAACTTATATATTATAAGAAACTGATGTGCTACACAATTTTTTATCATATTTTGCTTTAATAAATTGTTAGGTCTTAAAAGAAAAAAAAATCTAAAACATAGTAGTGTGTCTAAGTAGTAAGACATTAAAATAAAATAATTGTTGTAGTCTGCCTTAAGCACAGCACACAAGATCTGTTAAACTGATCAGTTGACTGATGTACATCTAAAAACTGACCGTTAGCGTGAAACCTTAACGCAGTTATAGACGCTAGGGTCACAAACTAATAAGAAGTGCTAGTGTGTAGCACTTCTTATTAGTTTGTTTGTGTAGGTAGGCGTGGACTCAGTAGAGAACATATTGTTGTGCGCCACAATTAATGCCTGGTACATGGCGACACCAGTTACCACTAGCGCCTTCTAGTATCGAGTAGAAGAACTAGGAGAGTAACTAAGACCCTTCTAGAAATTTCCACTATTGACACCTAGTCAGTCGGGGCCGGTATATACTCGAACATTCTAAATGTTTCTACAGTAGAAGGTTCTGGAATTATCTGAAGCCCTATATAAGGTCGTTTATATCGTCGTTCGTCTGGGTTCAGTTGGAAACATGAAGCAAATATAAAGAGGAGACGGCATATTCAACTGTGCACTGTGATTCTAAGTAGGTCCTGACGTCATCATAGTGGGCGTGGCTTTAGTTAGTATACTGTCAGCACTCGTCCTGTGAGCTTATGTGTTGAAAATCGCAAATCGGTGTATTTTCGTAGTATTAAGAGGAAAAGGATGAAGTGTTGTATTTTATCGTGTAAAAACTACTCAGATAGACGCTCTGATGCTATGGATGGCATCACATTTCATTTGTAAGTAATTTTACACCTAATTTATTAAAATAGTTCTAGAAAAATCTCTTTCTGTCAGCTTTCAAATATAATTAAATATATTCGACACTAGATGGCGACACTTTGTGTCATGTGAACTAAAAATATATAGGAACGTAGAGCTCAGTATTGGTAAAATAATCATACGAAGTTGCTGAAATTTGTTTTGCATTCAGACAAAGAAATTTTAATCGCCAAAATGTTATTTTTATAGTTTATAATCATTTTGTGAACATACCGCCATCTACCGTCTAGCTAGCTAAACTATATTGCAACATCGATATGGAACGATTCGAATAGTTTTACTATTTATCGGTAGATGTAGATGGTGTAAATTGGGCGGGGCTTTGCATCTCCTCACCCCGCAAATTGTCACGCGTTGTTACATAGTGAAACTTAATTAGAACGTCTCCTCTTTATATTTGCTTCATGGTTGGAAACCTGTTAATTAATAAACATTTAATAATTATCTGTTGTCGGTGACTTTGGTTGTTAACAGATATGGGTAGAAAAGAATATCGATAAGTATTATAGACAAGGAAATCAACCCTATTGAATTTTATTGTTTATCAAAACTCAGTAATATAAAGCCAAACATGTTTGTAATTACGATATTAAAATTAGTAACAAATTTTTAAGTACACATATTATCAAATAGATTTAATTTCTTTAATATTAGCTGTACATTAACTTACTTGTGGAATGTTATCCCACTTTCCTTTTGGTAAAGAGTTTTATATGTTACGCACACTGTCACTATTACGAGGGCGGCACTGAAAATTTCGGGAATCCAGGAAGTGACACAACATTACTATTTAAAAATGTATTTATTGCTTTTCGAAGTATTCTCCGCGAAATTTGACACATTTTTCCATACGATGGAACCAATCATTGAAGCAACCATTCCATTCGGAAGTTGGGGTCTCCAAAATGGCCGTTTTGTAGGCGTCCACAGCTTCTTCAGGTGATGAAAATCTCTGTCCACCCATTTTATTCTTTATTTTAGGGAAAGTATAGAAATCATTAAGCTTAGGTCGGGGCTGTACGGCGGACGGTCTAATAATTCTATGTTTTCTTGCTCTAAAAACTCTTTTGTTCTGTGTGCGGTGTGAGAACTCGCATTGTCGTGATGGAGGATGATGCGGTGGTTGCAGTTCTCTTTACGGAGTTCAGAAACGACCTGTGGCAAACAAATGCTAGCATACCATTCTGCATTAACCGTTCTTTGTCCCTCAAGAGGAATAGTCTTAACATGGCCGGTTTTGGAGACAAACGTGGCCACCATTTTTTATTGCAACACTCCGTGAACGAACAATTTTTGTTGGCTTTAACTCATTTTCGAACACCCAAACTCGTGACTGGTTTTTTGTTTCGGGTTCGTACGCGTATATCCAGGATTCGTCACCTGATACGATGTTGTATACAGCATTTGAGGATCCTGCGTGGAATCTTTCAAGAGTTCTGACGCACCAAGTAACGCGAGCCGCTTTTTGCTCTTCACAGAGGGAATGCGGTATCCATCGGGAAAGCAACTTTTTTACACCTAATTGTTCATGCAAGATTATTTGTATTTGACTCATGCCAATGTCTAAAGTTGCCTGAATTTCGCGGTATGTCACATGTCGATCTTCCTCAATCAGCTTACGCACAGCATCAACGTTTTCTTGAGTGACTGCAGTTTTTGGATGACCTTGACGGGGATCATCACTGAGCTGGTTTTGGATGGGGCTTCACACTCTGTCAAAACACTGTTTTTGTGTTAAACCACTTCGAAAGTCATAATAAATCATCGCTCTTGAATTTTCTCGAGTCAATTCCATTTTCTCAACGCCTAAACAAGTTTGACAAAACATTGTGACCAGACCGAGAATCTTTTTTTAAATAAATAAATGGTATTCGATTTTTAAAACCAAGGAGTTTTCAATTAAAAAGATTTTAATATGACAGGAACAGTGGAAATATTCCATTCTCGATACTTTTAGTGCAGCCTATGTACTAAAAATAATTCTTATTATGTAACTAAAATCAGACATAATCAAACCACATAAAATACTTTAATTTTTTAGTTTAAAAGTTCAAAATACAGAGATACGATTTAAATAATACAACAGACTTTGGCATATTATGTCAATTTTAGTTCCCGGTACGGACAATGAGGGCGCTTCAAATCGGCAGAACCGTTTTGTAAGGTATAGCCAGTCCAGCGTACTTGTATATACAGAGGTCAGTAGTACGCGTGTGTGTTATGACAGATGGTGCTACTTTTGCTTGTATGAAGAAGGTCGAGTATATCTTTCCCAGAGTCGAGTAGAGTCAATATGTCACAAAAAATCTGTGCATACACGCGAAGAAAATCGAAAATCGCGAGGAAATGCCTACAAACCGAAAGAAGTATTCTGAACCGTTAATAATATCTGCACTTAAGCAAAAAGCAATATTAATGAATGATGATGAAATGATGATAAGCAAATGTCATTAATTTCTTCTTTTAATTCATGGCATCTTTTGATAGAATTCAGCTAATATTTAAAAATTTGATTTTAATCAATTAACAGGAATTAATTGTGCAAATCTCAGAGTAATATGTATGTACTTATACTGTAAGGAACAAAACAAAAAAAGCTTAACATAGAATACACATTTTCAGTTTCTTCCAATATAATATGTATTTTTGTATCTAATTTATTAAATAGTCCGAAATAACGCGAAGGAAAAAAAAGCGATATCTTATTCTCGCTTTTATTTTATACGCCAAACCCAACATAGACCAAAATTGTGATTGTGTGCGAATTTCTCGGATTTCATACAAAGATGGATCACTCTGCCCAATAGGTTTGTGAGGCTCGAGCCAAAATTACTCGAATTTGTCTTAATAAAACAAAAAGTTTAAAAGTTACAAAAGACAGGTTGAAATTCCTGCCAAAAAGTTTTATATGGGCGCCCACCGTGGCGTCTGTAGTGTACACTCATAAACACGTTTCTTTTTTTTGTATGAAGTTGGCGTTCATTTCTCGGTATAGAGTAATAGTGTTCTGTGTCCGCTATTAAACCGCAGCAAGACGCGCTGCGGCGCGGCAGGGTAGTAGTCAATGCAAAAATTGTTTTAATCAGAAATGTACTCGGCATTCATAAGCAAGCGTGTAGTTTGATGAGACTTGGTGTGCCCGCAGCAAGCGCCACCCCGGCGGGGCACTGTACGTGTGTTCTCGCTGGCGGTGCACCGCGCGTGCCCCGCCGCCGCGCTGTGGGCGGTGGAGCGCAGCGAGCACGACTTCCACCTGCTGCGCGCCAAGCTGCACGAGTTCCACGGCGCCGCACTGCCCGACCTCGCGCTGCCCTCTCGCAGGTGGGTCACTGACATCGGTGCACCGCGCGCACGAGTTCCACGGCGCCGCGCTGCCCTCTCGCAGGTGGGTCACTGACACCTGTTCACCGCGCACACGAGTTCCACGGCGCAGCGCTGCGGACATCTGTGCACTTTGCGCTGTTCCCGCAGGTGGGTCACGGATACCTGTGCACCCGCACCCGCACCAGCTGCGTGCCAAGCTGCACGAGTTCCCCGGCGCCGCGCAGCCCGACCTCGCGCTGTCCTACCGCTGGTGGGTCACGGACACCTGTGCACCGCGAGCACGAGTTGTTCCACGGCGTCACGCTGCCCGACTTTGCGCTGCTCTCTCGCAGGTGGGTCACTGTCACTTGTGCACCGCGCGCACGAGTTCCACGGCGCCACGCTGCCCGCCCTCACGCAGGTGGGTCACGGACACTGTGCACCAGTACGCGTACCGGCTGCGTGCCAAGCTGCACTGTTCTACGGCGCCGCGCCGCCCAACCTCGTGCTGCTCTCCCGCAAGTGGGTCACTGACACCTGAGCACCGCGCGCACGCGTTCCACGGCGTCACACTGCCCGACCTCGCGCTGCCCTCCCGCAAGTGGGTCACGGACACCTGTGCACCCGCACCGGCTGCGCCCCAAGCTGCACGAGTTCCACGGTGCCGCGCAGCCCGACCTCGCGCTTCTCTCCCGCAGGTGGGTCATGGACACCTGTGCACCGCGCGCACGAGTTCCACGGCGCCACGCTGCCGACATCTGTGCACTTTGCGCTGTTCCCGCACGTGGGTCACGGACACCTGTGCACCCGTACCCGCACTGGCTGCGCGCCAATTTGCAGGAGTTCCCGGGCGCCGCGCAGCCCCACCTCGCGCTTCCCTCCCGTAGGTGGGTTACGGACACCTGTGCACCGCGCGCACGAGTTCCACGGCGCCGCGCTGCCGACATATGTGCACTTTGCGCTGTTCCCGCACGTGGGTCACGGACACCTGTGCACCCGTACCCGCACTGGCTGCGCGCCAATTTGCAGGAGTTCCCGGGCGCCGCGCAGCCCCACCTCGCGCTTCCCTCCCGTAGGTGGGTTACGGACACCTGTGCACCGCGCGCACGAGTTCCACGGCGCCGCGCTGCCGACATATGTGCACTTTGCGCTGTTCCCGCACGTGGGTCACGGACACCTGTGCACCCGCACCCACACCGGCTGCGCGCCAAGCTGCACGAGTTCCACGGCGCCGCGCAGCCCGACCTCGCGCTGCCCTACCGCAGGTGGGTCACGGACACCAGTGCACCGCACGCACGAGTTCCACGGCGCCGCGCTGCCCGCCCTCCCGCAGGTGGGTCACGGACATTTTTGCACCCGTACGCGCACCGGCAGCGTGCCAAGCTGCACGAGTTCCACGGCGCCGCGCTGCCGATATCTGTGCACTTTGCGCTGGGTTCCCGCAGGTGGGTCACGGACACCTGTGCACCCGCACGCGCACCGGCTGCGCGCCATGCTGCACGAATTCCATGGCGACGGCATTTGATTTAGGTAGAATAATTTAGGTTAATCATGACGTTTGGCAGATTGATTGACTGACGATCACAGTACTAGTCTTGAGTATCTTCTACACTGCTAGCCGTCGCCGGTCTGGGTATTTCACGTGTGGTGTAAACGAGATTGTTATACCGACATCTATCAGAAGCTATAAAATTTTTCTGGCATTCTTCATAGTTCGCTCTTACGACACCCACGGAACAGAATGGAATTATGATACGTTGTTCTGCCTACTTCTTTGCTTAGTTTCATTCTATTTTAACATGTGTTATGTCATAATAATAGAAGTCTTATTTTTTCGCTTTCAGAGACAACAGTCCCTTAGAAACTCTTCGATATAAATACGAGGATTTCCTACAAAGACTTTTACAAATGCCCCTTCTTCAGACGAGTGAACTTCTTTATTTATTCCTGACAGTGGATAGTGACTTCTCTATGGTGGTTCAAGCATCGACCCTTAATGCAAACAGCACTGACTTGGGAAATATTTATCATTCGGTAGCATATAAGCTGAGGAAAGAAAAGGGTCAGCATCTGGAGAGCTTCCTGAGGAACTTCCTGGTATCGACGGACAAGGAACGATATCAAGCCCTGTAAGTAATGAAACGTTTAGTTATTTCTTTAGTTGCCTTCTTTATATAAAGTTGGTTACAGATTTAGTAGAATGTGGTAATGTCGTAACTAATCTTACTATTGAATAAAACTACTTTTACGGATTCTATCGCGTTTAATTAAATTGTTTTTTTATTGATTCCCGACGTTTCGGGTACTTTACAGCACCCATGGTCACGGGGGACTGAGGTGTTTGACGTTCCGATGTCAGAGTTAACCCGGAGCTTTTTTAATTATTAATTTTGGTCCGATCTACACAGAATGAACTTACCGTCTTGAAGTCTTGCAGTAGTTTCCTTGGGTTTAGTTTTAATTTTATTAATTACAGGATCCCAAGCAGGTGATAGTACCCAGCCTCCCTCTCTATTGAAATTAGGATGGTTTTTAACTTCAATATCCTCACGTATTATCCTTGGTAATCAATAAAAAAAAACAATTTAATTAAACGCGATAGAATCCGTAAAGGTAGTTTTATTCAATGTATAGTGTTCGCATAAATATAAGAAATCATTATAATCTTACTATTTTAAAAAGGTATGTTGAACTTTTTTTTTGTCCCATATAGGTACCTAAAACCAGTAATAATATCGACTACATGTTTCATTTTATACATATTAAAGTATTTGGTTCAGTTTTATTGAATATGATTTAGCCCATTTTGACTATGAAATTGAAGTGACAAACGAACTTATAGTCGATCTGATAGTAAGTGGTAACATGAACATCTCTAGCCAACTTCAACCAAAGAAGGTTACGGATGCCTTGTCAGTTTTGAGGTTTAAGATGTGAGTGCCTTCCTCAAAGCCTGTAAATTATACTACCTCTTAACCAATTGTTATTTGCGGTCAGAAATAGTTAAGAGGGTTGTACTTACCCTGACGGACTTTTAGGTTCTAGAAATGGAGTCTTACTATCTAATAAAAGCTCGTTTTTACACAATCCGAAAGATACAAATAATAATAGAACATGAGAAGTTTAAAGTGTGGTCAGACTGAATTGACTCTGCGCCCAATTTTTAATTTTTAATAATGCAAGGGATTCATGGTCCTTCGAGCCGGATGTGAAGCGGCAATATGTCTATTCACGGGTGTTGCTAGAATCGATGGAGAAAAATAAAACAGGAAATGGCCAGTAGCATCTTCCTAAAAACAAATAAGTTTTATTATAGTACGAGGGTGAGCACACAGTTCACCTGAATGTAATGTTGCGTGCCACTATTAATGTCTTGTACATGGCAACACTAGTTACCACTAGCGCCCTCTAGTATCGAGTAGCAGAACTAGGAGAGTCTCGAACCCCAAGCTCGTAACAGTAAATAGATGCTGTGGCTCATAGACATCTACATCTGTCTTTAATTAACAAACAAACCCCTGAAAACTAAGATGGAATGCCTCATTTTCAGTAATAAGTGTTTCCGGTTTTCTACACTTATACGAAACGCAGCAGCATTAAGCTGATATTTACACGGATATTCTGTGAGAGCATGGTTTTTTCAAGGTGGATTCGATCTATTCGTGTTACAACCATAACATAGTTGCGGTGTGGCTCTAACATGTCAAAGAGTAATAAAAACCACAATTGGCGTGTCAAGCGTAGTACCTAATTAAGATATATAAAACTAGCTGACCCGTGCCCACTTCGCTGGGCGTCAAACATTTTAACTTGTATCTTGTGTGGTTCTTAGTACTGTGTGTTTAGGATTTATTTTCGGAATTGATTGTCAAATATTGTTATTTCAAACACACAAACAAAACACTCACGCTTGTCAACCAGAAGGGTAGGCAGAGACTACGGACTTCCATTTGGCGCGATCCTTACCCACCTCTCTCGCCTCCTTTACATCCATATATATACGCATACACGCTCGTCGGTTAAGGGTACTCTTAATCTGGCCCATTTTTAATGTATTGCCGATTTGGTCGATAAACCTTCGTCTAGGGCGCCCCTTTCCGACCCTGCCGTTCACTTCTGCAACATAAATTTGCTTTGTCCCTCTTTCCTCGTTCATTCTTTCTACATGACCAAACCACCGAAGCATTCCTTTCTTAATCCTTGTCACAACGTCATCTTGCAGACCACACTTTTCTCTTATCACACTATTTCTCACCCTGTCATTCAGATTTAGCCCTAGCATACTCCCTTAGGACCGCATTTCTACAGCATTTATTCTACTCTCATGTTTTTTCTGCCAGACCCAACTTTCACTACCACACATTAAAGTAGGGACGTACACAGCATTATGAATTGCTATACGTGCATTCTGACTCCTCATAATAGCGTGTAGAGCCCCATTCACGCTATTTCTTGCGTTCACTCGTCGTTCTATATCCTTATCATATCTACCATCCCTGCTAAATAAACATCCCAAATATACAAACTCATCCACTTGCTCAATCAACTCCCCCTTCTATTCTTATTTCACATAACGTTTTACTTTCTTCTCCTTCAAAAACCATCACTTTCGTCTTACTTGCGTTCACTTTCATACCCCTTTCTTTCAATGACCAGTTCTTTAAAGTAACCATCATTTGCAACTCGGCCGCCGACGATGCAAATATGACTTGATCATCGGCGTACAAAAGACATTTGACGGTTAACACACCCATTCTCAACCCACATCCTTCAACTTTCAAAGTTTGCAAACAACTGTCCATAAATAGGTTAAACAGCCACGGGGAAGCCACACATCCCTGTCTGACACCTTTATGAATGCCAAACCAGTCCGAGTAGACCCCGTTGATCCTGACACAAGCACTAGAGTCCCTATAAAGAGACCTTAATGCCTGTATCAAGCCAGCGCTCAATCCAAATGAGTTCAGTGTTTGCCATAACACATTCCTGTCCACTCTGTCATAAGCCTTTTCCAAGTCCATGAACGCACAAAAAACTTTCTGGTTTTTGGCCAAAAACTTCCCCGCAATCATGCGCATGGAAAAGACTTGATCCGTACACCCCATCCCCTTTCTAAATCCAGCTTGCACATCCCAAATTTTTCCATCAGTTTCTTTCATAACTCTTTCAATTAGTACCTTAGCATACAGTTTTCCCACAATGCTAAGAAGGCTGATACCACGGTAGTTTTTACAGTCCTGCTGTGATCCTTTTCCCTTATATATTGGGATTATCACGGCTTTGCACCAGTCTCCCGGTACCCGCTTCAGTTCTCAACATAAATTAAACAAAGTGCACAGCAGGCCTGCAACCACACCCCCTCCAGCCCTTAGCATTTCGAGTGATATTCTATCATATCCGCCTGCCTACCTGCTTGCATGCTTTCCATTGCTTTCATTATTTCATCTACACCTATATCCTTGCCTCTCTCAACTTCTTCCGGAATTTCTATTTCACTTACTTCAGACGACTTCACTCTCAAACACGCTTTCAAAGTATTCCTTCCATCTTTTATTAAATTCGAAAATTCATCATTCAGCATGCAGCCATTCTCGTCTCGTATAGCATTCATTCTAGGCTGTTTTGAATTTCCCCTGGCAGTTCTGACGAGTTTCCAGAACATTTTAATATTTGCCTGGAAGTTATCAGATATCCTTCTATCATTCTTATCCATCCTTCCTTGCTTTTTCCTTTCAACAACTTCTTTTATTCTCTTATTTATACGTCTAAAGTCTGCATTTTTTCTTTCAATCTCATCATTCATACCGCTAGAATTACCAGATTTGGTTGCTAGTAAATCTAGCCATGCTACCTTCTTTCCTTCAACTTCCATCCATACCTCACCATCCCACCACAACGTAACGTAACGTAACGTTTCCTTTCATTCGTTCTCTTACTTACACCACATACTTCTGTTTAAGCCAAATAATTAACATTTGAAATTTGCATTCAACACTCGTGTCCTTCCGCTGACTTTGTAAAAGTCACCGTCGCCCCTCTCCCGTGTGGTCGCTCGGCAGGGGGCGCGAGCGCCGGACGCGAGTGCGAGGTAGTAGCTTGACCGCAGCGGCTCTGTCGACTAGTGTATTATTTACGACCGCTGGATCGGTTTCGCGCGACCAGTTTTTGGTTTTGGTGGTCTAGAATTTGAGTATTTGAGCGCGTCTAATTTACTATTGAATATTTGGGTTTCGTGTAGACCGCCTCGAATTGGTTTGTCTAAGTTTGATTGCATGTTGAAGTGCATTTTGCAATATTTATTTTGCTTGTGTGACGTGGAACCGTCTGCGCACGCCGAGTGGACAGACGGCCTGGAATTTGATACTCGCATTCCATTTCGAGGGCGTGGCCCGGTTAATTGTTTTTGGAAGTTAATGTTGAATCGTAACGTCGCGTTAAGTGCCTTTTTGTGTGTTGACTATTTAGTTAGTTTTGCGTGTCAGCGAGGCTGATTTTGAGTTCTTATTGCGGGCGTGGTATTTTAATATCGTACGAAAGAATCTTAGTTTGTTATGTGGAACGCGGAACTTTGAGACTCGACAAGAGGCCGCGTTCGTTCCCGTGTTTGTAAATTTGTGCTACGTGAACCCGGAACCTTGAATATTGAACTTTGAACGACGGTTTGTTACTTGTGTCGTGTATCACTTGTTTTAATTTCGAAGAACGTTGAGTTGGTTGACTTTGAAGTAGACATGCGCGCCGCGCCGGCGCCGCCGCGCCACGCCGCGCCCTGCCCACGCCGCGCCGCGCCGACAAATCCGATCGGCGCGCCGTGAACCAACGCGGGACGGGCGCGTGGGCGCGGGGTCAATAAAACCATGCAATTATTTAAAAATTCAAAAATCAATAAAAAAATGTAAAAAGATCGTAAAAATCGTTCGGTATCGCTTACCGGAATTGAAGCGAGCGGCGGAAATAGAACAAATGAAATTTTTACAGTCTCTGGAGCGCGTATCAGAACTTTCAGTATGTATATAAAAAGTACTCTGTGATCAGAACATTTGCTACTAGCACGCCTAGTGAGCGCGTTTTTTCTATAGTGGGACTAACTGTGACTGCTAAAAGATCTAGACTAAGCCCAGTACACGTTAATAAAATTATTTTTATTAATGATAATTATACATTGTGCAAAAAACACAATTTTAATTTCCTATAGTTTGTGCAAGAAACAAAAAAATGTGCTTTTTCGTTTTTGCACAAATTATAAGGTATAATTAATTAGAACTTGTTTGGTTTGTTTTTATTTTGAGAAATTAAATTTGAATTCCTATCCAGGTCTATGTTTCACTTGTTACTACCTTATTTTAAATAAATGTTTATAAAAATTAAAATAAAATACGGCCGCGCCGGCGCGGCGTCGCCACGCCGACCACAATGGGTCGGCGCGCCGCCGCCGCCGAATTCTTGCTCGGCGCGCATGTCTACTTTGAAGTTAATTAAATGTACAATAAAGTGGATAAACTGAAATAGTGAAAGGAAGGCAGTAGTGTTCAATTGGTGAACTACGATTATAGGGAGCGCACCTTTGGAGAGCAGCAGCGCCTGTTGAGCTTCTCTCCGATTACATCGGACCGTCAGGTCACATATATAAACACTACTATACACTACTTACATGCACCTCACTTATCACCTGATTGGTACCCTGTGGTCAACCCTACCTCCGAGATTGGTAAGTGCTTGCTTATTTGTCAGCAGTTTTGAACATTTATCTATAGGCCGTTGGGCCCCGTCCTCTGTTGCCCGTCGATGGGATTACTCATGGGCCCTAGTCCAGTCAACCTTTGTTGGGGCAAGTCAGGGCGTGAACAACTTCTTTATCATTAAGTCTGGCTGCATCCACCAAAACTTTCTTAACATTATTGTTATTTCACATTAAAAAATATTATTAATCATAATCAAGTATAGCCTATGTCACTCAGCAATAATGTAGCTTTCTACTGGCGAAAGAATTTTTAAAATCGGTTCAGTAGTTCCAGAGGTTACTTTCTACAAACAAACTCACAAGCTTTCTAACTTTATCTCTTTTTATAATATTAGTATAGATATATCCCTTTGATGAGATAATTTTCGGGGGAGGCTTATGTTTAGCAGTGGACTTTTACAGACTGTAGGTTTGTGGTATTGTAGTGTTTTGTAGGTATATTTTTTATAGTTGCCACGTATGACAGGCGTGATCCCAAGCGCAGTTTATAATTTTTGAGTTGTTATTAAGAAGACAATTCTACCTATTTCCTGGTTTGTATTCTTTTATTTCTGTCGCCTTTTACGACACTTATGGGACAATATGGGATAGTGGATATTCTTACAATACCTTTATTATTACTACTACTACTACTGGAAGAACTCTACTAAGAAAAAGTTGCGGTTGCCAACCAGTCTGTGAAGGTATGATATGAGACTTGTAATGTTGGTAACGTGTCAATGAGAAGAGACGTGTTATTTTACCCTTATTTTACCTTAACACTATTATATTGTCGTGGGGGCTACACTAAACTACAGACAAAAGGATGCCAATGTTCAACAGATAAATTTTTATAAATGAAAAAATGAAAAAAATGGGTTAATGTTTGTTATAGCAAACATGGGGTCCGCGATGTGGAGGAGGCGCTTGAGGCTGACGAAGCTAGGGCGGTCCAGTCCGCGGATGAGGGGGAGGTGCGGGGCGCGGGTGGCGCGGGGGGCGTGCGGGGCGTGCGGGAGGTGCGCGGGGAGCAGTTCGGAGACAACTTCGGCGAGCCCGCGAGTGCGGCCGCCCGCCCGCCGCGCGCCGCGCGACACCAGACCGCCGTCGCCGGGTTCTCGCAGTGTCTCATGTATCTGCGTGAGTGTACGCTGCTTCCATACAAACACAAACAGAAACTTTCTTATTCAATTTACATACAAAATAATACTTACTGAAAGTCACTCTTATTATCTTTAATTTATTACTAGTTCGGAAAATTAAACCAGCAATTAACAAGCGGGACTTTAATGAAAAAAACAAAAAAAACTGTTTACAATCAAATATATCTATTTTTGTGATGTAAATGCTATTAGCCTATGCGGTTCTTACAGCTACATTTGACACAGGGCCCGAGTTATTTGAAAAAAAAGAGAAAAGCAATGATAGCGATGAGGATGATGTTGGTTTATGATTTGCTATTATTACTGATCATCATGTCCCCTCTGTGGAGGTTTTTTTGAGCTATCTAACCGCTGTCCGAGTAGGGGTGTGCGAACCCCCATCTCTGACTGCTTAGCTCGTATTGGTGGATGTGTTGTGCGGTGAGAACCGTCCAGAGACGCGGGTGTGCGGTGTGTGCTGGAGCGCGTCAAGCCCGCCTGCAGGTGCGACGCGTCCCATGAGTCCCACGCGTCCCATACTTGTCCCATTTGATGTGGGTGTAGTGTCAATGTTGGATGTACCTGCGACATTAGAGTCAACGGGATCGAGCGAACGTGGTTGTTCTATAAGTACGTTACGCTGCCAACGGAGACTCCGCGCGACGTTTTGATATCTGGACGTAGTTGGCTGCGTTTGTCACTGGCGGATACAATCACATAATATGTTACATGATTAACAACACAAAACAAATTAGAAATTATAACATTCTGCAATAACTGTATTATATGTCATAGCACCAAGAGGCTGTTATACGAATAAATATATTCTTTTTAGTTCTGAAGACTTTCTTCTACTTTCACTCTAGTAATATCGAGTAATAGTTTTATACACGAACACTATTATATATTAAATAAAACTAATTTTATGGATGTTATAAACTTATTTACTTATTTAAATCCCCAACGTTCAGTGCCTGATTTAGAGTTCTAACAGCCCTAGGCTAACTATAAATGTGCGCCTCCCAACATGATCGTTACTTTGGACATAACTTACGCTATTTATGTAACGACCTCTTCACCGTTCATCTATGAGTCAGGTAAATTAAAAGATTAGAACTAGAACCAGCTGATTAGTGAGTGCATTGACAGTCACTAATCAGATGTGGTCGTCAAGGTACATTATGAGTAATGAATTCTATTATTTTTGAGAACAAGGAGGCGATGGTGATAATCCTGTAGTTGCATGGGCCTGCACAATCGTTTTTTTAGGAATCGGGTGCACTAAAGTTGTCTTCCTTAAGTTCAGGAATACTCCTAAGAATTAGGAGTGCCGGAAAAGAGACTTTAGGGAGCACCCGTCTTCAGCACAATTGGAGGGACTCCATCAGACCCAATCGACTTGTTATCTTTGAATGTTCCTTTAACATCAGTCCAAGGAGAGGAGTGCTTTGCACACTGAGCGCTGCGGAATGGTTGGCGGTGTGTACCCCCCGTCATCGAGAGTCGAGTTGAACTCAAAAAGATAATAAAATATCGACTAAAATACGGCACTTACTCTATGATTGATTGAGAATATTATACCAAATTTTATTCTGTACGTTAATGATGCTTGCAAAGGTAAGCTCAGCACTCCCTCGTACCTTGCGTCCCAATCTCCTCCAGCCTAGTTAATCTGTAGGTAAATCAGGTCCTGTCAACGTTTCGGATGTATTTCAATGGAATTCAAACACAGAAAGTTGAAGCTTAAAGTAGCCCGGCCTAACTATAATATCAAGACTATTTTGTTAAATGTTAAAAAGGTATTTTGTTAAATTTTTAAGACAACAACCATCGAAAGCCAGAAAAAACTTAATTAATTGATATTATCAAAATACGTGAAGGATGTAGATGCCTCCTGCCTTTGTGAACGTGAGGTTAAAATTTTGAATTTTAAACTTAAGGCGGTTATTTTGGAGGGGTAAATAAAAATAGATATTTTTTATATATTAATATTAAGTTTCTATTTAAAATTTTATTGCAGCTTTTGTGTTTAATATTGATTTACCATTTTTCCAAAAAAAAAAATGCTTGAACATTGTTGTCCCTCACCATATCTCCAACAGCATCGATGAGAAAATTCTAAGATTTTATGAAGCATTTTTCAAAAAAAAATATTTAAAAAAGATGATCCTGATGAGGCACCAATCATTGTGGAGACTCAAATACATATTTATTTATTTTACATAGCTTTCTTTCGAACGTTTTAGATCTAACCTCTTCGTAAGGAGGCATCGGAAACTGAAGGAAGGGTGGGATTTAATGTTATATTACTTATAAGTTACCCAGTAATGTAATAAATAAATAAACATTGGAAATTAATCAATTTAAAATTAATATTTTTTCAGTGATGAAGGTTATAAAAGCGCCCGGTTTCGTCTGCGGTATTGTTGGTAGCATCCTAGCGATGTCACGGACGTTTCTAGATGATGCATTCAATACCTACTTAAACACAAAATTGTCCAACCTGCTCTCCGAAAGGAGACTTGCGCATCTTATTCGATTAGGACATGGTGAGTTAACTAGGCTTGACTTTTCTTTTTTATGAACTATTATAAGCCAGTCATCATCATCGTCATTGTTAAAGCTCATCACATGTCCACTGCTGAACACAGGCCCCCCACAAGGAACGCCAGCCGGTACAAGACTGCCACTCGAAAACCTTTCTTCCCCAAGCTTATTTCCTCTTTTATGAACTGGTACTTGACTACAGTCTCACCTGGAGGTAAGTCGTGATAGTGTAATCATTTTTAGGTAAATTTATATAACTATTCATAACAAGATTCCTTGTAATTGATTTGTGATTATACGATTTATCTTTGTTTAAATTCAAAGCTCATTTAAAAAGCATTCTTATGAAGAAAGGATATTATAAATTAGGTGATTATTTAAAAGATTTGTGCGCTCTCACAGAATACCAGCGTAAAATAGCAGTTTGATGTTGATGTGTTTCGTATGGTGGGTGTAGCCAAATACGATATAAAATTACATACTTATATGAGTTAAACGTCAAATCAAGTTGACAAAGCGCGCACATAAATAATAACAGATTTTTCCTAGTCACGTTTAACAAAATCAGTGTTAGATTGTCGATAACAACTATTATAACTCACAGTTTACAAAACAAAAAGGAGTTACGAATTTCGAGAATTGACCGTAACTTAATACACAATGTATTAAGGCCGCGAAGCCCTGGTTGGAAGTACCACAGAATAAATAATATTACAAGGTATCGTATAGAAGGCTTTTCTTATAACAGGCACAAGTTATATAAAACAAGTGAACCTATCAATTATATAAAATTACAACGGCTTATACAGCCGTACTGATGTGTGTACACTCGCAGATCTGCTATTCGGTAAAAATACATTACCGACACGGATGGAGCCGATGGCTCAGCGGGAAGCTGCCCGGGATGGACTGCTGCGTCGTGTTCCAAGCCGCTTGCACTCCGCTGTGTTCGCCGCCTTCGATATCATGCAGAGTCCCCAGCTAAATAAACAGGTAAGTGTTTTTTTTTATATAACGAGCATACGGCTCCGTTAAAGTTCACTGCTAAATATAGGTCTCCCCCTATAGATTGCCTCATAGTGGGGATATTTGCCATAGTTGCCAGTTGCCACGCTTGGCAAGCAGGTTGGCAACCGTAGTTGTTTTAGGTCGTTATTGGAAAGGCGCTGCTGCTCATCTCCTGATTTGTTTTTCACTGTCGGCTCCTTACGACACCCACGGGATGATTTTTTTTATAGGATAGGGTGACAAACGAGCACACAGTCCACCTGATGGTAAGTGGTTACTGTGGCCGTTTTGACATTTACCCTCAATATCACCTGTGAGGACTAAGATGGAATGCTTCTTTTCCAGTAAAATGGGTCTCCGGTTCTCTACACTCACCGTACGAAACACAGCAGTTTTAAGGCCGGCCACATACATACGGAATTCCGTTTCGGTATTCCGTTTCGATATTCCGATTCGGAATTCCGAACGCAGCAAGTCCATATAAAATATATGACCCTTTACACACATACGGAAGTTTTCCGTTCGAAATTTTGCAGGCAAAACGGGATTCCGTAAGTGTGTAGCCGACCCGTTCGGAATTCCGAAACGGAATCCCGAATGTAGCAAGTCCATATAAAATCTATGATCCGCCACACACGTACGGTATTTTTCCGTACGGAATTTTCTCCGATTCGAGATTCCGTATGACCGCCTGTGCGTTCGGCATCCCGACCGGAAAAAAGGCCGCTCCGAACGCAAGTCTTCCATAGATTTTGTTCGAGTAGCAACACATACGTAAATTCCGTACGGAACGCGCTCAGTGTTCGTCGCACGACCGAAGCGAGTAGGTGCGTTTATTTATGTTTTTACATTTAATCTTGTAGGTGTATAGCTTTTCGTAACCTTTCATCTTATTTTATTTAATAATTCGTCGAAAGAATTTACAAACAAATATTTAAAAAATATCTCTGAATAGATAGATCATTTTACATAGTATTGACTATATTGCAAGATTAAGGTGATAAGGGCGAGGGAAGACGGCTTCGTGGCGCAGTGGCTTAGCAATGAGTTCGTGTGCTTGGGGCCGCGGGTTCGAATCCCGCACGGAAGAAGTATTTGTATGGCCTACATATAATTGTTCCGGGTCTGGATGTTTGTCCTCGTGTGATTTATGTTTGTAAACTGCCTCCACGACACAGGAAAAAAATCCTAGTGTGGGGTAACGTTTTTTTTTTAAAAATAAGGGGATGCACCTAGTAAGAATGATACCTAATAACAATGGAAAAGCAATTAGAAAAATCGTCGTCATTATTCGCTGGCATAATGTCTAGACTCAATGGCTAACGTCTCTCAACTGACCCTTGATATTCCGAACGGAAAAAAAACGTATGTGTGTGATGTATTCACGGAATCCCGATTCGGGATTCCGAAACGGAATCACTAAACGGAATTCCGTATGTATGTGGCCGACCTAAGCTGCTATTATACGCTGGTATTCCGTGAGAGCATGGTTCTTCCCCGGTCGAGCCGACCCATTCGTGCTACAGCTATACTACTAATATAGCTGCAGCATGGCTCTACCACGTAAAATATATAATATGGGGTAGTGGATATTCTTACACCGCCACTACACGGTAAACCATACGGCTGACCCGATGGTAACTATCGATCGCCGCCCATTAACAACTACAACGCCAGGGGAATTGCAGGTGTGATGCTGTCCTTTAAAAATGAGTAAGCTCGTTTCTTGAAGGTCCCTAATGCCCGATTCCTATATTTAAATAAAAATAATAATTCATTTATTTCGGACAAAAAAAAAATATCCTAAAAAACCAAAAAGCACGGTCCTGAACCACCTGTATCCATCGACTTCCTGTATATCTTAAAAGGTCGTCACTCCATTTAGAGGGATCCTTCTAGTGAAAAAACTTTAAATGGTTCATAAATAGTTGAAACTGGTGTTTTGTGTAAATGAGACAATTTTTTTCGGATCATCCGTAAAAATTAGTTTCATTTAAATTTGTAGTGTTCGCGTAAACTTAAGAAATCATTATGGTATTTGGTTTTAAAAAGGGCGTTTTTATGCTCTTAATTTACTACAAAATTGCTCGTAAAAAAAAACGAAGCGTTCTAAACCTGGCATAAATCTGATCTTCTCGGAAAATTCGCCAGTGGTAAACAGTTCCACAAAAAAGTGGTGCGAGAAACAAAACTCCACTTCGTAAATCGCATGGTAGTGGACCGCCAAGCATCCAGATGATGTCTTGTCTACTAGTTCTTTTTGTTCCTACTTACTTCTTCTATTTACCTCGTTTATAGTAGTAATTGTTGTCTTCAAATTATTAAACAAAATAAGACAAGTGGTAAAATTTAAAATGTTGTGCAACTGACTTCAATATAAAAAAAGGAGAACATCATCAATGTAGCCGAAGTCAAATACGCATTATTATTGGAACGAAGTTCCTTATCGGACGGTACGGGTTTGGCGGATGGGAGCTAGGCGCTAAAAAGTGTAAGATTTTTTCGTCACTACCTCTTGTGTAATAGTGTAGACGGCCTTGGCGGCGAAATATGGAAGTGAGATGGAATAATATCCATCTCCCTCGCACTTTTTCTTATCTTGCCATGAAAGAAATATTATTTTATTTCAAATGCTTCATCTGCCGACTTCCAAAAAGGAGACGGTACTCAATTCGACTGTATGTTTTTTTTATATGTGTTACCTCATAACTTTGTACTGGGTGAACCGATTTCGATGATTCTTTTTTATATGAAAGCTGATAGTTCTCGTGTGGTCCCATATGAATTTGATCAAGGTCAGACCAATAGTTATTGAGTTATTCTTAAATAACTTATATTGAAGTCGGCTGTACAAAATTTTTAATTTTTAATTATTTTAATAGACATTAGTAATTCATTTATTTGTATTTGTTAATCAATAATATAATACCTAAGTTTATCAATAATAATATACTACGCAAGGAACTTCGTTCCAACCGAGTGTTCCACGACACTTACGCATTTTTTAAAGTTTTGCTTTTTTCAAACTGAAGTGACAAATGAACTTACACTCCACCTGATGGCAGGTGAATACTGTAGCCCATGGACACCTGTAACCAGCTTCAAACAAAGGAGACTACATATCGGATGTTACCTCTAAGGATTGACATGAAATGCCTCACACCCTGTAACTATACCTGCTCTTCCTCCAATTATAGATCGGATTTACTAGAATTCATTTATTTGTATTTGTTTATCAATAATAATATACTACGCAAGGAACTTCTTTCCAATAGAGTGTTCCACGACACTCACGTACTTTTTATATTATTATATACAGGTGGCTCAAAAACTACTGCTCAGATCTTCATATAATTTATATGGGACCACGAGAAGCACCACCAAGCTATCAAATAAAAAGAATTATTAAATTCGGTTCACCTAGAAAAATGTTCTGACAACCTCTTCCTTTTTTTTCGGTTAATAAAATAATTCGTGTTATTTTTAATTGTCTTACGAAAGTTTTTATTTGCAGTTAGTGTACAGCCTATTGGACATTTGTGTCTTGGAACTGTTCCCCGAGCTGAAAGACCAAGAGCCGACGGAAGCAAAGAGTTGAAGACTTACTACATTCTATTATCCTTATTTTTTCAGCTTCTGTAAATCGCGTGTAAACTAAATAGTTTTACAGATTTGTATTTTTACAATGTTTTGTTAACTCTGTACGTAAATACATATATTTAATTGTAAATATGGATACTTTAGTAAAACTATTTTTGTATTGTTACTTTAGTTAATATTATATTATGGCCTCAACAAAAGGCCGAGTATTCCTCAAGTGACCATAAAACGAATGTTTGCAACGTAATATATACCAAAATAAATTATTTTGATTACGAAATGCGTTTTCTAACCTACCGTTGATATTTATTAATTTGTTAAGACTGTTCTTGTAACAATAATACATATTAATTAAATGGCATGGGCATCCACGACTTTTTCTGCCACCAGGGCGGCGCCACTAGAATGTGAGGTACAATATTTGACAAATTTCATAGTGGGGAAGTTAATTTGTTCGGAAAATGTAAAAGTTATCGTTTCTTTTTGTACTATTAGATATATTTTATATTAATAACATTAAAATAAATAAACCAAGCCACAGATATTGTGCCGGACGACCGAAACTCGTGAGTAAATGTTATCGAAGATACTCCGCGAGTCGCTCACGTCCTTCACCTATAGGTTCCGGAGGATACTTCTACTGCCGTCTTTGTGGGTGCAGCTGTGGTACTGTGAACTGACGTTCAATCAAAATGCACAAACTGTAGGATACAAATGGCAAAGCAGTGGCCAACGGTTCAACTGCTCAACTGTTCCGCGAAATTCTTCTGACTATTGGTTATTGACCACGGTTATTGAATATGGTTGTTCAACTACGGTTGTTCTATATCGGTTGTTCACTATTGGTTGGTCACTATAATTTTTCAGACGATTTCTTCAGTTATTTGATAGTAACTTACTTCTACTAGTAGTTGCTGCTTCTATTATCACTGTTTAACTAGCTGCTATTATCATCTGCTATGTTGTACTAGCTAGCTACCACTATCACTTATCTAGCTGCTATTATCAGCTAACTAGCTATTTCTATCACTTGTGTAGCCGCTATTATCAGTTACTATGTTGTACAACTAGCTGTTACTATCACTTGTGTAACTGCTATTATCAGTTACTATGTTATGCAACTCGCTATTACTATCACTTGTGTAGCTAAGCTATTATCAGCTACTATGTTGCTAGCTACTATTCACTATGTTCTATATTCTGCTATTAATCACTTCAGCTACTACTCCTTACTACCACTTGTCACTGGTAGTTCTTCTCACTACCACTTGTCACTGGTAGTTCTTCTCACTACCGCTATCACTGGTAGTTCTTGTTACTACCATGTTACTGGGTCTAAAGTAGACTGGAGCGTTACTTTAAAGTGAGCCGCTTGCCATTGTCCGTTTTGCCTCTATTGCATAACGTTTTCACAATTCAATTGTCTTAGTTACAATTTTTCCATACATGATTAATTTCTACACTAATGTACTTATGCATTGTTAAATCGGCAATTTAGTCCTGTATTAGAGTATATCATAAAGACTTTTTTTTATAGGATCGAGTGACAAACGAGCACACAGTCCACCTGATGGTAAGTGGTTACTGTGACCCATAGACATCTACATCTATCCTCAATAAAGACTCAAGATGCAGATGCGTTGTCACCCGTGAGGACTAAGATGGAATGCCTCTTTGCCATTAAAAAGGGTCTCCGGTTCTCTACACTCACCATACGAAACACAGCAGCGTTAAGCTGCTATTTTACGCTGGTTTTCTGTGAGAGCGTGGTCTTTCCCCGGTCGAACCGACCCATTCGTGCTACAACTATACTACTAATATGGCTGCAGCATGGCTCTACCACGTTCAAAACACTTCATCATATACACATACATTCATCAAGACTTCTTAATATATTAACAATGTAAAAAGTTATTAACTCTTTAATTTTACTATAAATAGAAAATAAGTTTTATTATGCTAAATATTATTTTATTTCCTTAATCTATAAACCTTAATTTAATTCAATATCATGTTTATAATTCTTCAAGAGCATAAAAATTATTTCCATCATTTTCGGGATCAACTATTACTTAGTTAATTAAAAACGCCTAGAAAGTTCTATAATGTGTCACGCTCTGATTGGTCGACTTTTTCTTTGTACAAATAAGAGTTACTTTCTTAACTATCATCAAAACGATGTTCTATACTATCATACTAAGGTTTTAAACATGTTATAAAATTATATTATTGCACTTTTCACTTAGTTTTTCACTAATATTTTTCCTAATTACACTTTTAATACTATTTTTATCACTTTGTTTCTAAATACTTTTCACCGTCGCGAAAATGTATTCATAAAAGTAGAAAAATAAAAAAAAGTTAAAAATGTGCAAAAAATGAAAGAGCCAACCATTGACACATTGTTTTTTGTATTAATATAATACTCTAGAACTTTAGAAACTGATAAACTTTTATTAAAAAACAACTTCTTAATTAAATTACATTATGTAACAAAAAACTTTACCTCAGTGTCAACTAGCGACATCTGGTGAGCAGAAAATTATTAGCCCTCATTCTGTAATTTCTGTAATATCCAAATAAATGTCTTCCTTTAAGCTAAGAGGGTTATTAGCATGCCTATTAGATATGAACAATTTTTTTGGGACGAAGTTCGTTATCGGACGGTACGGGTGTGGCGGATGGGAGCTAGGCGATAAAAGTGTAAGATATTTTCGCCACTACCCCTTGTGTCATAGTGTTTTTTATTTTAAATGACGCTTTATTTTAATGGACGCTAGTAATACATTTAGTTGTATTTGTTACTCTATGTTTATCAATAATGAGGAACTTCGTTCCAACCGAGTGTTCCACGACACTTACGCATGTATGTTGTGTTCAAAGTGTTGATAAGTGTTACAGTTTACTCTGAGTATTACGTAGTCGACAAAATTGGGATTTGATGTTGAGGGTTTAGTGGAAGGCGTGGCGCTGTGGGCTGTGACTCGCTTTTGAATGGAAGTATGCTGTCAACGTATGACGCTCCGGACACATTATTTGCCGCTACTACCGATTACCATTTGATACATCAGGAAAGTATATTTATCTTAAACATTGACTAAAAAAAATATTTTGTAGGAATAAGTGGTTAACTTTTTAATCGATTAAGAAAAATGCCTGAGAGCCAAGCTTATTTCAATTGACTAACCTAAGTCTATTTGGTGATTATAAGATTATAGTCATATAGTAGATTATAGAAAGATTATAGTGACACTGTTAAATTGCAGAGTTTCTTACTTCGTTTTTTTTAATTACTATCTGTCTGTCCTCGCTCATTTTCGGAATGGTTGAACCAATTGTGATGAAACTTCACCGAACAGATAAGAGAGCAATTCGTGCAGAGTGTAAGTGATATAGACTTTATTTTATCCTGAATAATGGATTTTTTTTTAGAAATTGGAAAAACTCATAAAATAAATAGTTTTTGATGATTATCTCAAACTAGAACTAAGTTTCTTTTAAAACTTCTTGAAATATTTTTTTTATTATAATCATCGTCATTACAGCCTATCACAAGTCCACTCCTTAACATAGGCCTTCCTCGAAGACCCTGAGCCACCTGCATCCATCGATTTCCTGCACGTCTACCAGGTCGTAACTCCATCTAGCGGGGGCCGCCCTACACTTCGTTTACCGGTATGAGGCTGCCACTTGAGAACCTTTTACTCTCATCGGTCGGTACTTCGAGCTGTCGTGCAGAAAACCTCCAAGCATATAGTTTGGAGTGATCTAGAGCCTACGGCCAGTATGTGGAAGCAAAAAGAAGGAATCACGTCTTAGTTCCAACACAACTTTTGAATATCCTACCAAATGATGTAATGATGTCAGTTGTGTATAAGATGTATGAAGGCACTCTTACTGTGAGATGCTGTGTGTGTATCTATCTAAAGAGTAATATAGGGAGTTTTTTTGTTTTTGTTTGTGTATTAAATGTCTACGCATGTTAACTATTAGTGGAAGCGGTGAAACAAGTGCTCCGATGATGATGTAATCTCAAGATAGGTGTCTATCTGCTTAGGCGCCTTGATATACTATCACCAACTGTCTCTGCCTCAAGTTGCCGTCAAAATTTCCCAAGGGCTACGCAATGTGACATCAACATATTGTAAAGCAGACTACTATAAAGGATTATTATCACTTTAATTCTGAGATAAACGAAGACTGAAAGAAGACTAATTGAAGGCTGAAAAGACAAGCATCCAAGCCAAAAATCTTAATAAAAAACCGAGCTGGATTCTTTGGTGGTGAATTTGATTTGAGGTAGCGTTTTTTTTTAACTGAAATTATTTTACCAAAAACTATTTAATTTTCATTTTTCTTAGTTTTTATCTTGTATATACCTACGATATAATTAATTGTCTTGTAAATAATTACCATATTTATTACTAAAGCCGAGGGTGCTATCCCCCCGGCCAGCAAAGGTCCGGGTCCCTTAGGGAAGCGTGCTAGAAGAATGGACTCCTAGGATGCAGGCGATGTAAGCAGCGGCGGGAATAAGGACTTTTTACGTTTTTTGAAAACAAATTATAAAATACTATATCCTGCAAACTCTACTTCAATAACGAAAGGCTGGGCAATAAGAGTCCGATATATCTGAATCATATTTTTGCTTCAGACATAAAATGGGTGGTGGCCATTCATAGAGTGAACAAAATTGTGCAGTTTAAAGCTCTGAGAATATCTGAGGTATTGTGCTCGACTCCAATTCGAACCATGGAGATCGAAACAGTCAAAATGCCACTTTCACTTAGATGGCTATTTCTAAAGGTTCTGTACAAAATTGTTATCAAGTAGTAATCAACAGACCATTAAAAAGTGTTATCATTTCATTTAACTCTTCCATCTCCCTTAGTTTCTGCATCGGATTTGCTTAGTAATAAGTTTCCAACGTTATTCCAAATTCTTGTAAACTTGTAAATACAATATCAAAATATACATAAACGATGCTTATGGCCTTCA